ATATTAGTGATAATCATTTAGTGAATAACCACGAAAGTCTTAAAATCTATACTATTGGACTGTTTAAAATTTTACGACACCTGGCAACCCTGCAAATGTCATTTTACTCCATCTTCAAAAAAGACAGACTATACATTACCAGCCCTGGTTGAAACCAGGGTCGTAGCGAATATCAGTATCCACGTAAATTTAAATATCCACATCCGCATTCATCATGGACTTTTTACTCCAAAGATCTACAGATCTAATAAGGTTAAACGTTAGAGTAGAACTCTCGAGTGACAAATTCGGTCCTGCCAGTGAAAAAATATCCTTCCAGCTTCCATCTGTGTCGGAATTCTCATCTGGCGAGACTATGGGCCACAGCGCTGACCGACTAGCTGCGGCCTTTGGCGCATCGCGTCAAGAACAAGACGAATACGCGCTGCGCAGCCACACTTTAGCGGCGCAGGCGCAGCAAAAAGGATACTTTACCGATGTAATGCCTATCAAAGGTAATATTTAAAGTTTGTCATATGTAACAATTGCGTTTATCACACTTGACAATTTTCTGTAAAAAATATATTTCTTTAAAATCATAAGTTACGTCGATAATGATTCTCACCTACCACTCTTCTCGAAGGACTGCGAGTGAAAGAGGTTTCAGGTTCGATTACCGATAGGACCGATTTGATAGACGAATTTTTCTAAATTGGTCTGGGTATCTGTGTGTCCCAGAGTTAATTTCACTGCTCTAGAACTCATACTATACTATACACTAGGGATGGGGTTTGAGACCACATAATTGTTCAGCAATCACAGCAAAATTGTTATGAAAATTTCCCCACATTTGTTCAATACACGTTTTTATTCTATCTTACCCAAGTTAACTTTGTTTGAAACCAGTGGACGGCAAAGATGGTGTTGTGGAGAAAGACAACGGTATCCGCGTATCGACTCCGGAGCAACTAGCCAAGCTGAAGCCAGCCTTTATCAAGCCACAAGGCACTGTGACTGCGGCTAATGCTTCGTTCTTGGTAAAATTCTTTTTCAACCTATCTTGTTTGACATTTCTCTTACGCAATAAAGTCCATTTGACGCGACATGACAAATAGCGTTACCACATTTATCGAAATCGGTCAGAAAAAGTTTTGTACCTATGTAATAAGAGCGAAAAACACGTCGGCTCGTACGACGCGCCTCGATATAGGTGGGCAACAAATCTGTTTACCGTAAATTTTCGATCGCGTCCGTACGTAGCCGACGACGCCCGAATGGTTGCGTCGGAGCCCGAATGGCCATGTAGCTATGCCATTGGCTGAACAACTCTGAAGGTGCAAAAGCTTACACTATAGTGATTTAAGAAATCGATTAGTAAATTGAATTAATTGATTTGTTTGAGTGAGTAATACTAGCGGTTTTCCTTACAAAAGCGTGTATAAAATTTCCGAAATTTTAGTTTTAAATCCGCCTTCAAATCCTTACACTTAGATACTCGATTGTGGTTGATATTTTCGATTTACTTATCGATTACAAAAACTTTAATTGAATAAACCGAATGTTTTTTCCGTACAGCACTGTGCAACCATAGACTATTCATACATCTATAATTAAAACATAACCTCACTTTTTCACTACCATTTTTCAAATACGATTTTACGATGTTATTCAAAATATACGTAAAAGTGTTACTCATTCGATTTATTGAGTGATTGCTTTAGAATTTGAACAGACTATACATTTCATATCCCCGATCCGAGACGATGACTCTATGACTGAACAACCGCTTTGACACTCGAACGGCTACGTCGACACTCGAACGGCCACGATAGCGCCCGAACGGCCACGATAACGCCCGAACGGCTGCAGGACATCAACGAGTATGGCAAAACATTATCGCCTCAAACCAATTCCCCGTTGATATGACTCCCACATCCAAAAAGTGTACTTTTCCCATAAAACTAATGATGAATGCAATTCCAGACGGACGGTGCTTCAGCTTGCGTCATAATGTCAGAAGCGAAAGCCAAGGAGCTGGGACTCAAACCCAAGGCTTATCTCAGGGACTTCACTTATGTCGCTCAGGTTTGTTAAATCTTCATATACTGTCTCGTTTATACAGCCATGTGCCACGGCCGGTTACTTTGAAAATGAGCTCAAGTTCAGCGCCATTTTGTATTATCATTGTGAATATATTCCCAAATGCTGTCGTGGGTTCGAAAACGGGCTCGCACCTCTGAGTTTCTCGGAATTTATGTGAAATTCATCATGAGTGTTTCAGTGAAGGACAACATCGTGATGAAATCTGCACGTTAAAGAAGGTTCACAATCCTCGGAAAACCTGAGATGTCCCCAACCCGCATTAGGCCAGCGTGGCAAACTATGGCCTTTAATCTCGTCTGAAAAGAGAACCGTGCCCAGTAGTGGGATGTATAAAAAGGGATGATGATGATGATGAAGGTCTCATAAGTACTCATTTAAAGAAATAATTTTTACTCAAATTAATTTTTTGTTTAAGTATTATTACGTTTTGAGTATCTTAACTATTTGTTACCTGTTTAAGCAGATGACTGTATAGCCAGTGCTCGATAAATAAAAAGTAATAGTTTAAAATAAAGACTTCCAACCATTGACTTACAAATAAATGGACGACGGGTCTAATACAAAATGTCCCAAGTCAACCTATTTAAACGTAGTGACAAGTAAAGGAATATGAAAAAGCTAAAACGTTGAATTTAATGTCATCTCGTCGTAAACGTCTGCCTAATTTTGCGTGCAACAATTAAAAGGCCCAAAAAACACCATATTCAGCTTCTACTACTAACTTACCAAAATGCACCATATGTAGCTTCTAGTGAAAACTACTTGAACACAAATATAATGGAATAACCTTTATTATTTATAAATAAATTTTATACGTAAATGTTGAATTTTGTACAATGCCATTTATTACGAGGTAGGGTGTCTGACTTTTTTTCTTGAGTTTCGAGAATTCTCATACCCGATTTCTGGAGTTATTCGAGATTTTTGTTTAAAAACCGTAAAAAATCAGCTCAATCAACTATAAAACTAAATGTGAAGTTTTCGAAAGTTGTTTTGGCCTGGGTGTTCTGAGTTATGCCCCGGAATAAATTCCATCGTTCGTGGTCCCAGGTTTGATTCCCAATAGAACCAATTTGGGAAATGAACTTTTGTAAATTGGTTCTGCTCTGGGATTCTGTTGCTCTGATACTCATGGGAAGTATGTACAGAGAGTTCCCTAGTTTCAGACCAGGTGATTGTCTTACAATAGAATACCAAGACCAGAACCATTTAGAAAACTTGATTTGTTAAATTGATTCTACCGGTATCGAACCCAGGAACTTCTCATCCAGTGCCCACAGTGCAAACCGTAAGGCTGTCAAGGTTGTACTATTTGTATTGTTAATTATATAAATATAATATATAAAATTATATATAAATATATGTGTAATTGTTAATGCATTGTTTGCATATGAAAGCTGCAAATTGCTTAAAAAAATCCTATTTAATTTGCACTGTCAGTCTGCTTCAATTACCTTCTTTGTTTCTTAAGTTGGTATATTTTGTCATTCATCCAACTTTTGCTTTTTAATGCATTTTGGCGGTGTAAGATGTTCTCTGTTAATACTTGTCACTTTCTTCTTAAGTTCAAGCTATGTTTCCTGGATACATTCCTGTATTCTTTCCTTTCTATGCACAGTTCACTCATTGATGTAATCGCATAACCAAAGCTTTAATATTATGGTCTTTTATCAAGCTTGCATCAGCTCTGGTTACCTTTCTTTTCTTACCATTTTCTTAACCCGTTCGTGCATAGTACTGAAATTATACTGCGCTCAAAAACTTCACCACTTTTCTATATGCCGTAGTACTTACATTGATTCAATATAATTATTACGGTTTATCACTGACGTCGGTTGATTCCGTCAACAGGTACGACTATGTCGTACTGCTCATAGTTCTTGCAAATGTTTCTGTGCTTGAAAAGGTACGGCTATGACGGTAGTAGGGTATTAGCCGTTGTGAGATAATTATAAAATTAAAATGCGCAATATTGATTGCGCAAGAGAAACGCTTTCCAAAATAAACACTTAGGTACTATTTAATAATAATAATTATAATAACGCACACACTCAACATTGCCCCGCATTAGGGAAACCCTGTGTCGCGGGTGTCATGTACACACATATAGACAACCACAAATTACACCCAAACTCACGAGAGAAATAAATGTAGGCCATACACATATTTCTCCCGAAAAACCTAAATAAATACTTTCGGGATTATGGAAGTTTATGCAAACGTTATTTCGGGCAAATGTATTTTCGGTCCTCTGATTCGTAAACCCGAGCCGTACAAAGAGTACAACAATATTTGAAAGTATTACTAACAGGTATTAAAAAATATTGTAATAATAACATTAGCATCAAAGCGACTCTATGAATTTTTGTTCTAAATATTTCAAACGCTTGTGTTTCAAACAATTGAAATTGACGTGATGGGTCTCGTTTAGTCTTTTACGCAAGTAATGAGTCGGAAAGAGACAATTAGCTATTTGATTTATTTTAATTGCTTTTTAATTTATTATTTATTATTACGATTAATTTAAATATAAATTAAATACTATATATACTAGTGCGTAAAATAACACTTTTAAATGATAACTATAACACAATGTAGTACTTACTGAAAATATGATTTACCATCCTGTTTTTTCACTTTAGTTGAGTAATTTTTACAAGGTTTTACCACACAACACGGCATCATTGACAAGCGCGCTGTCAGTCGAATAAACGAAGACTAAAGCGTGATTGACGCACTGTATACGATTTTAACGCCCTGTAAGTTCGGACACTTTTTAGCGCGGACCCGACGTCCATTTATTTGTAAGTCAATGCTTCCAACAGCTGTTTATTTATAGAAAAAATAACCCGCCAAATTCAAAATGAGATGTTTTTTTTTTTAATTCATTTCATGACATTGTTCACTTCATGTTCACTTCAGTCGAAATGAGATTATAAATATGGAAAGTAATATAAAATTTAATTGATTATATTATCATTAGTTACAGGTTTCTTACCACCATGTAATTTCATATCGCTACCTCCAAGTAATTGATTATATTATCATTAGTTTACAGGTTTCTTACCGCCATGTGAAAAAAATTTAAAAAACAAAATGGCGTAGTGTTCATTGAAGGTTTATATGTTCATGGAAGGGTCCCGATAGTAGGGGATAATCATTTAGTAAAACAACTATATCTACATGGCCAAACAAAGTTGAAACGCCGTAGTTCGATTCCAGACTTATTGTGTTTATACAATAATATCCAATTTCGTATCAATTTTTTTCCAAAATGTTTACAAGAGCGTAGATCGCAAAGTGATTGTGCTTGTACCTAAACTGCAGTGTTTTCCAGGACCCCGTGGACCAGCTACTGTTAGGCCCCGCCTACGGTATCCCCAAGATCCTGGACAAATCCGGGCTAACCCTCAAGGACATTAATGTCTGGGAGATCCACGAGGCTTTCGCTGTAAGTAAAACATTTTTTTTGTTTGAAAATCAATGGAACGTTTAGTTTTATCAGTTTTCTATTCTAACTCTAATGGTCATAGTAGCAGTAGAGGTCCTAGTGAAAGAATTCGTCCAGTGAAGTACTGCTACCTTACCTATTTCTGCGTTCCGGCTTTGAATGGTAAGGGTGCTGGTGAAATTACAGACACATGGAACTTGTCAACTTATGTATCAAGATGATGGGCGCAGTGGCAGTGCCCCTCAGATCTTTGCAATTGAAAGCTCTGAGCGGCAATGCAACTGTTATGGACAGGCGTGTCGCTTACCACCAGGCGCACGACTTGTTCGTCCCGTTACTTGGTATCTAAGAAAAAAAAGGCCCGATCACACAGTCGAGCTTCACCACTAAACTTGCTCAAAGCAAGCAATCGTTGTTTTTTAGCCCGATGAGACTTATAATTTTGACAGAAAAAAGCAATGCAAAATTTCTAGTTCTATTTCACTAACTAATTTTCAACAAAATTATAAGAAACGTTATGTGTACGTGTGCAGTTGTGTACCTATATGTAAGGGAAAACAATTCCTGGGTCTTTACCATGAACTCTCAGTTTAGGACCTAAAATAAATCGTTGTGAGACAGCGCTACATGAAGTGTATATCACCATCCCACATTTTTTGTCGTTACGGACCTATACTGAACTGTTATAAGAGTTAATGGTAAGGCCCCTGTACACATAAAAATACGTACTTACGAGAGCCGACTGAAAAGTAATCTACCTATATATAAGTATGAAATAAACGACAACTACGGCTACTTTCTTTTAATGTCGCTGTGAGTGACATTAGTTTGTTTAAAAAAAATTGTTACTGAGTTTTAAATTTAACTGCCTCCCTGGCCGAACTATTGCCATGCTGGACTGCCACGCAGAGGTCCCGGGTTCGATTCCCGAGATATCTCTCGTGAGTTTGGGTGTAATTTGTGATTGTCTATATGTAATTTGTGTGTCCATGGCACCCGTGATACAGGTTTTCCCTAGTGCGGGACTTTATTATTATTTAAATATATTTTTTTTAAGATTATTATATTATTTAAATATATTTTATTTTTTTCCAACATGTCCATGCAAAACGAAACCATCGAGTATATAACCAGAAATAGAGACGAAATGTCATTTAATTTGTTTGAAAACTATTCTGCCATATCATTACTGTGACATTTGCACTCCGATTGGCAAGCCCGAGTTCGAAACAATTGACGGGTGTCGTGAAGGGGTTTCACTTCAAATCGACCAGTTAACTTGAGCTTTGCTATAATGGACAAAAATTGCAAAATTACATATTTCATATTTAATTGCCGATGAAATGTGATTCCGTTTGTTTTGTAATTAGATGTTTTGCAGTTTTTCCCCAATCACCGAATAGAACAGCACGGTATTGTTAGACATATTATCTTTATTACAATAAATACAGAATATTTTTTGGAATATACGGAGACGTACACCCAGATCAGTAGTTGGCCTGTCTATATTTCAGTGCAAACGGGTGTTGATATTTATAAGAGCTGTATCGCTAATGTGTTACCAGGAGTATATGGCCCTTATTTCGTGTCTATTTCTGGTTATATACTCGAAGAACGAAACGTAATATACTGAAAATGTCGCTTATTTTTAAAAGAACTACGTTTAGATCATGGTATCAGTTAAAAAAGATTACTTTTCAGCCGCTTCTCGTACGCTAGTTACTTAAGGTGAAAAGGACCCTTAACTTTGAATAATATTTTTTCTGTTGTAGGGTCAAATCCTGGCTAACCTGAAAGCATTGGACTCTGATTGGTTCGCGCAAAACTACCTCAAACGCCAATCGAAGGTAAATAAATGTATTTAACTCAATTAGTATCAATTAAGTTCTTAGGTTTTCGCGATTGTTACACATAGGAAATGAAACTATTTTTCCGGATTAAAATCGCGTATATTTGTTTTTTCAAACAAACTGACGTTTCGGGCCCTTTACAGGTCCCATGGTCACGGTTGACTGACCGCGACCAACATTTATTTCATGCAGGGATCGTGTTGTAACATCTTCATTAATTTGGTAAAAACGCGGACTTGCGGCCAGTTTCAGCAATGCTGCTGTTTCGCGATATTGTTTCGATGGCAAAAATGAGGTTTCTTAGAGGCTAATTCAAATTCTGCGAGATCTACCTTAAGCGAGTTAGGTAAGCGTTAAGGATCTGTTGGCGCGATATTTCAATTTTATACCTTTTGCTGTTACGCGGTATTTACAAACTGCTCTTCTGCATTTTTGCATGCGCAATTAAGTGTTTTTTCTAGTTAATATATATTTTTAAATTTATTCATAATCTGAGTACAGAGTACTAAAAAAACCTACCTCAAAAGTTCGTGGAATTACATCCATTTGCCAAGTTTTATTGAAATCGGTTACCGGTAAAGTGCGCAAAACCGGATTCTTCCCCTAGTTTGCCACCCATACTAAGGTACTCTCTTTCAAACATAAAAAAAATACAGTCGAATCGAGAACCTCCTCCTTTATTTGAAGTCGGTTAAAAATACAGAAAAAATACTTATTAAAGCCTTTCCGGATTTATACGCGGCGAACTAGATCAGACACGCTTAAGAAAAAAAAAAGAAAAAAGGACTGGTGTCTTACCATCTTATAAGAAAAACTAACTTGCATGCTACATCATCGACCGCATCATCACTTATGCGCACTTATTTTTAATTAAACAGAAACTTAATTACGATAACACAAGTACGAAAAATGCTAAATTATGCAATTTAGCATACAATTATAAGTAAGCAAATTACTCAGTATTAAAATACTATATTTGTATTTATTTTGCTATGCCTCTCAGATCTTTGCGATTTAAGCTCTGAGTGGCTCTATAGCTGTTAGGCCGATGTGTTCCTCCCGTCACTTGATAAAAAAATTGTTTAAAAAAGTTGTAATATGTTTATTTATTTGTAAAATTGTGTAAGTCGTTTCTTACATACGCAATTTGTTCACAGTCCATTTATAAAAAAGCCTGTTTTTATGAATTATTAAATAATTTTTATTTTATTTTTAATAATTTTTATTTATATTATTAAAAAATTTAATTAAAATTAAAATAAATATTATTGTTTTATCGTCAGGTGGGGACGCCCGATATGGCAAAATGGAACACGTGGGGAGGCTCGCTCTCTATCGGACATCCCTTCGCCGCCACTGGGGTAAGCTCACGATATAACTACTATTCTTTGATCTAAGACTTACGTATAATCAATAGAAAGCAATTGTCAATTGTCGTAAAATAAATTTATAGAAAATAGTGATAAAGTGATAATACTTTACAAATTTGCAGTCGCTATTCAGTTGATAAACTATGGTAGCCTTATGGCCTACCGCCTCTGATGCAGAGGCCGTGGGTTCGAATCCGAGCTAGCACATCTGAGTTTCTCAGAATTTGCGTACACCTTTGTAGAGGAAAACAATTCACAGGAATTGTTTTCCCTTACACATAAAAACACATACTTACGAAAGTCGGCTGAAAAGAATAAATCTACCTATATAAGTGTGCAATAAACGATAACTACGGCTACTTTCTTTTAATGTCCCTGTGAGTAACATTAGTTTGTTTAAAAAATAGTTACTAATTTTTAAATTTAACTGCCTCTCTGGCCGAACTGTTTCCGTACTTGACTGCCATGCAGAGATCCCGGGTTCAATTCCCGGGAATTCTCTCATGTGAATCCCGTGATCCCGTAGGAGTGAATTTCACTTTCCGTATATCAATGGCACTTTTTGAGTGATTTTTGAACAAACCTTTTTTCTTTTGGTTTTAAGGCATCGAGTATGTAACCAAATAGAGACGAAATATCATTTAATTTGTTTGAAAACTATTCTGCCATATCATTACCGTGACAACTGCGCTCCGATTGGCTAGCCCGAGTTCGAAACAATTGACGGGTGTCGTCAACTGTGTCACTTCAAATCGACCAGTTAACTTGAGCTTTGCTATAATGGAAGATTACATATTGCAAAATTACATATTTCAAATTTAATTACCGATGACATGTGATTCCGTTTGTTTTGTAATTAGATGTATTGCAGTATTTCCCACACCACTGAATAGAACAGCACGGCATGGTTAGAGATATTATCTTTATTACAATAAATACAGAATATTTTTTGGAATATACGGAGACGTACACACAGGTCAGTAGTTGGCCTATCTATATTTCAGTGCAAACGAGAGTTGATATTTATAAGAGCTGTATCGCTAATATGTTACCAGGAATATATGGCTCTTATTTCGTCTCTATTTCTGGTTATATACTCAATGTTTTAAGGTCTTAAACGTACAAATAAGTTTAAGCAATGTCAATAATTATAAAATCACAGAATGATTTGATTTAAATACAACAAAAAACGATATTTTAGGTCACACGAATGAGATTGCAGTAACACGAATGATTTTCTCGTAAACTTAAATGAGAAAAACGGCACAGTAATGAGAAATTATTATTACAATACAACACACATTTTATCGTTCACAAAAGAACATTTAACATGTAACAAAATTTTAATGTAACTTCTTGTATCAAAATCCTTCTCATCCGTGTAAGACCAATGCAATCTATCTATCTATATGTAATTTATAAATAAATCTAAAAAAAAGTATTTTGTTAATATCATATAAGCTTTGTTCTACATCAATATATCATCATCACCACCATCAACATCATCATCATGATCACCGTTATCATCAGCATCATTACCACTCACATCATCATCACAATCATCGTCATCACCGTCATCACCACTACTATCACCATCTAATTGTTATATTTCATGTAAATGTTTGGCATAAAGTAACTAACTATTTGACATAAAAGTAGACAAGAATGAGAGCGATAATAATGATATTCGGATACATTTTTAATTGTCAAGTAGAAGTGCATGGATTTTAAAGTTCCCTTTGTCCAATTGATGTACAATAAAGTTTATAAAACTATTACTTAATACTTATTTAGATAGATTGCTTTACATGAATGAGAACGATTTAGTCACTAGCGCTGAAATTGGTATTTAAGTCGATTGTTTGCTAAAACACACACTGTATACACAGTGTACACTCCAATCCGACAGGAACCCCTTCTCGCGTGTGCGAATGGTGAACGTGATGCGGTATGAACTTTTGTTATTAGGAGGCTTTTATTTGAATTGACACTAATGATAAGAAAAATTGAAACACATTTTGTATTCCCAAGAAAACATGTTTGTTTATAATAAATTGGAAAGTTACGGTATGTATTCGACGTGTAAATTATTAGAGTTTATCCTCGATGGGAAATATTGCGATTTCCACGAGTGTTGAATTTGTTTTCTTAAAATCAGTGCGACCTGGAACCGGCTCCCATGAATGAGAAATTTTTTATGTGTAACACAGACTAAGTAAGCAAGCAATCATATTAAATAAATAATGCTTAGTATTCATGTAATAACACAAAAGTTATTGAAAGGGACACATTTTTGGAGATTATCTGAAAATGATCCGTACACAGGTACACAATTGAATTTTCAAATTTACATATGTCATAACCTCTCCTCTGAGAGGAGACCGGTGCCCAGCAGTGGGACATGTAAAAGAGTTGGTGATGCTGATTAAGTTGATTACAATTACAATCTTCTAATAGAAGACACTCCCCTCATATTATGTTAACTTTCTTATAGTTTATATTGTTTCATGCAGCGAAATAAAAAAATCATCAATTATGTATTGAAATTGATAAAAAATTTGCATTATCTTGAAATCTACAACTGTTATTTTTGGTATCCTCACAGAAACTAAACTTCTCACAGAAAAATGATTTCGACTTTAAATAACCCCTATCTTTAATTTGTGAACCACCTTACGGTAAAAAAAACCATTTTCGATGTTATTAGAAATCGGAATCCTTTAAAATAAGCTCCGCCCACGCCCCCGTATGATTGGTCGCTTGCTGATGCTTGCGTCATTCGCTAGATGGCGTGAGTAAAATTTTACGAAATATTGTAGAGGTGTAGTGCGGTAAGAGGGGCCCCGAATGCTCAACGTCATTTTTCCAAACTAAACGCGGGCCCCGAAATTATGTAGTTGACTAAGTTTGCGAAACAAGCCCAAATACAAATGTGTTTGAAAAAGTCACGGGCAAGCGGAAATCCAAACTGTTCCCCACACAGAAATAATAATTTATGTTTATTTATGTATTTCTAAATAGTTTTTTAATTTATTATGCAATCAATGAGTTTAAATTGTTTAAGCGTTATGTGTAAATGCCCTCGGAGTTAATTTCGTTATTCTGATACTCATAGCATAGTAAATTCCCTGTTTGAGATTAGACCTCGTTACATGTCGCCGCGATAAAGCTATTATAGCCACATTTAGCTGTCAAATTCGAGTGAGAAACTAGCATTTAAAAAATTTATCACAATAGCTAACATGGCGAGCACCGTGACGTCACGTTTTTGTGTCATCGCGAGCGCCACGATCAATGACTACAAAAGTTTAACGCAGTGCCAAACAGTAAATAACAACTAACAAAATGTTAAATATGTAAAAACTGAAACTACAAAAACCCGGCTGTATACGCAATTACATATCTTTAGCCTTGATCTTTAAAATGTATAACAATAGTTCATTATCAAATAAACAAAATAACGAATGACTCTAATGCGGTATCTTGCTGATTCAGTATTCGCAAAATTAAAATTACTTTTAATAATGGCAACATAGTTTTATCAACTGAAATAAATATTGTCACGGGGAGGTTTATCACAAATGTATTGCCATGCTACAGCCACAGGTAAACAGGATGGAACTAATAGCACTCTTTCCATGTGGTTTTTATCTGATTAATGATAATAATAGAGTTTGTCATGTTCGCTCAGGTCCGTCTAGCAATGCACACGGCGCACCGCTTGGTACGCGAGGACGGCCAGTTCGGGCTAATCTCCGCCTGCGCTGCCGGGGGGCAGGGCGTCGCCATGATCCTCGAGAGGCATCCCGACGCTAAGGCCAATTAGTTCTTTCATACAGTTAACTTCTTAATATTGTGCGAAAATGCTCGTAAGTAATATCAGCTACGTTCCTTCCACTGGAGTCTTATTTATTGTGGTTAGATACTGCACATTTCCTTTTTGGTCAATATACCAAAAAGGAAATGTGTGCAATTCTATAATATAAAAAAGAAATTTATAACTTTCTTGTCGCCAAATTTCAATAATTCACTTTCTTTGTATGATGTGAAAATGAAAATAATTATTATTAAATTCGACATTATAAATTATTTTTAGATATTTATGTACCTATTACATAGATAAATAAGAAATCATTTTCATGTAACTTTGTATGTATGAGATTTCGTTATTAGTTATTAAGAGTCTATGTATTTTAAATAAAATGTATTATGTTTTTAGAATAGTTTTTCTTTTACAAATACGCGATGCACATAAAAAATGTGACGAATGTAGATGTATATCTGGAGATTGCTTAGACTATGGAATTTTTTCCATCCTCTAAGGGAGATTGGCAACCTTGTGTCCACGTTGACAGGAAAATGAGTTTTTGCGATAATACGTCTGTTGCAAAAAACTAATTTTCTGGCTTATAACTATTGTTGAGTAATTTTCCGAAAAACTTCAATAGTGGAAATTTTGCCGGAAAAATTTCCGAAAAATTGGAAAAATAAAATTTGATTGGCTCATATTATGTTCTACGTTTCGAAATATCTTTGAAGTTTTATTCAGCGTGAATTGGAAAATAAACAAAAAAGCCATTTTGAAAAAACAACAACGAAAAAATAACTAATGGCCCCATCGTTTTTGTTCAGTAACTTCAATTTTTGACAGATGTCAAAGTCAAATTTAGAAAAAATATTGGAAAATTTTACTTTTGTCTAAAAAATATGATTTTTTTTCAAAATGGAAATTTCCATTACCCAAAACACTACTTGGAACTAAAAAAACTTTGTATACAAAGCACGGAGTAAAGAGTACACAGAAATAGTAACGTAGCTGTAGGTAAATGAACTGTGAAAAACTCTGTGTGATCAATACATATACTACTTTTAAATGTTATGGCCCCACTGAAATAATTGATGATTTTGCCAACGTCAAACGGTAGTTTCGTAAAAATATAAAAATTATGGCGGACATCTAAACGAGCAACTGATTAAATTTATTGTAAGATGTCGCCGTTTTATAATTGATATCGCTACTCGGCAGTAGATGACACTAGAAGCACTTGTGTAAACAAACTCTTAATGCGTTGTCCTTTTCCTTCTACCTAAAAATGTTCCTTGCTAAACAGTGATAGAAACATTGCGTCCTTATCATATCATAGACTACGGACTGAATGAATGAGCAGAATGAGCACTTGCAATCAAAGACAAGTATTGTGGCGTCGTACTAGCGGACGTTGTTTATGATCGACATTTTCTTTTGGGAATATGTGGACGTAAATTACACTAATTTTCCACTGTTTTCAACGTATTTTTAATTTAGTTACGTGGTTAACTATTCGTAATTACGACTTTTGTCGTTACGAACACTTGAGAAGTGTGTAACAAATGTTCTCAAACACAAGGACCAAAGTTTTTTTCTAGACAAATATAGCGGGAAATCTACCGTGTGACGCGCACAATCGGTGATAATTCGCTGTGGGGACTGCAAAAGTGTCGTAACCGTCTTGTTATGTGGCCATTTCGGCTTTGACAGTGATTTTGTGTCAGATATTGAAGTAATTGACAATGTCGGAGGAAATGGCGGTGGGTGATAAGGCAACGGGAGAAGAGCCTAAAGTAAACGGAGAAGAGGCGGTGGTAGCGAGCGCCGTGAACGTGGAGGGTTCCAACTCGGAGCAAACTAGCGACCCAGTTACTGCTGAGCCTGGAGAAACGTCCACTTCAACGGAAGGTACCATGACAAATACCAGTAGCATAACCTAATATCCAATTACATTGCCTAGATTTCCCTTTTTTCCCCACTCTTATTTTGCATCAAAAAGCTTCAACTAGACGCTAAACAGCAGTTTTATTGTATGTCACTGAACCTCGGAGATAAATTTCCATGTTTTTATCATAATTCTGCACCGTGTGATGCAACTAAAATTGCATAGTGCAGTTTAACTTATTTGCATCAAATCAAGATGGTTGCTCATTCGACATATATCTTCTACACATATTAAATGCTTTGAGCTAGTATTATTAGTTACTTTTAATATTATAAGTTTTTCAATTTGTATTTTGGCCGTCTTCCCAAAAAAAATTTCATCGCAGTATTATTTTTAATTCCTTGTAAATTCACTTATTTGCTTTTGGTGTTATTGTAAATGGTTCTACTTAATTAATGTGATTTTATGCTAACATTTGAGTGTTAATTAAGTTGAATGCTTTTTTAATAAGTCTGCTTACACTTAAATCAAGCAGTTTTGCTTGCAATTTAATTAGACATGTAAGTATTTAGTGAGAGAGAATCCTGATGTTATTAATATTTTGTATTGTTTTTAAAATATGATTTCACTATTATCTATCTATTATCAAATATGATTTCAATATTATATATATTTCACTAAAATCTTACTAATCTGTGTTACTTTCACTCAGAATGCGTTACATACTTTTTGTTATGTGTTCTCATTATGAAGCAACAAGGATATATCTTCATTGAGGAAGGAAACTGTACAAGTAGAAATATAAATACAGTATTGGGTAACCATTGTCTATTAGAGATTCTAGCCAAGCATTTGTCTATTTTACAAATGAAAATAAACAAAGCAAATCTATTGCCGGACTGCCACGCAGAGGCCCCCTGGTTCGATTCCCGGGCTGGGAGAAATATTTGTATGGCGTACATTTATTTCTCTCGTGAGTTTGGGTGTAATTTATGGTTGTCTATGTGTGTGTCCATGGCACCAGCGACACAGGGTTCCCTGGTGCGGGGCTATGTTGAGTATGTGCGTAAAAAAAAAAATTTTAAAGTTGTAAATCTTCTGCTGTAAAATAAGAACTTAAGTTACAAGAAAATTCTAGGCCGCCCGCACGCCCTCCACTTATTAAATAATTTATCTCCACACTATGGGGCTACTGGTGGTGACTGCAAGGTTGAAATTACAAAAAAAATCTCCATCCAAAATAAGTGGAATATGATCTGCAGTATACATACATGCTCATTCATGCTGGGTGTTCTATAGTCTGTTCCAATCCATTTTGAACAAAAAGTAAACAGACCGGTTTGGTTAAAATTCTAAAGCAATCACTCAATAAATTGAATAAGTAACACTTTCACATATATTTTGAATATTTCGACTTGATATATCATCACTTTTTCTGACAATATTCATTTGAATAGCATTGTTAAATAGTATTTGATAAATGGTAGTCCAAAAGTGAGGTTATTATTCATCTATACTTCTATGACTTGCCTATGGTTGCATAGTGCTGTTCGAAAAAAAACATTCGGTTCAAACAATTGAAGTTTAGTAATTGATTATTAAATCGAACATTTCAATTGCAATCAAACGTGTATCTAAGTGTACGGGTTTGAAGGAGGATTTAACTTGAAATTTTAAATATGCTTATATAGGTTATGTAAGGAAAACTGCTAGTATGACAATAAATCGTTTCATTCAATAAATTCGTTTCATTCAAGATATGTAGTTGGTGTTACAATTGGCCATCACTAAACCGTCTATGGTTGGGGCAGTGACTTGATTGTTTCCTTTATGTTCAAAATGGATTGAAACGAAGTATAAGTAACTTTAGGCCTACCCTAACACAATGCACTACTTTGACTGAATTGCCTTTAAAATAGAGAATGTATCACCAGTTGATTAATAACTCTTTATACAACATTTGTGACAAATTTTTGTCTTCTTTACTTAACGGTGCTGTTTTGTATCGTGTTTTCCGCTTAGTAATTTTATGAGTTTTTCTGGGTTTTCCTATTCCACAAGTATTGTGGGAGCGCTATATGAGAGAGTACAGCCTTATGTATTAAATTTTGATGTTGCGAAACTGTTGACTTACCTAGACAATGATTTGGAGAAGTCTATCAATATTTATTTCATTTCTGCTGCCCTGGGCAATGCAAGGCAATGAACCATGTCCATTCTAAATGAAAACGTTATATAGTGGAGCTAACCAATCTTATAATAAAACTTCAGTATTGTGTCCTAGTAAGACAGCTGTCACTTTGTGAGAACCACCTCATTGAGAGAAGTGTCACGATTCTACTTTATGGAAGAACCTAACATACACGGAGTACTCATTACTACAATATTAGCTTTAAATTAAGGGCAAAGGCACATTCTGCAGTGGTATCTGTCTTATAATATTCTGATAATCTTCTGTGATAAACTTTTTCAATGTATTTCAAGAAATTTGCACTTGATAAAACACATAATTAGTGTGACAATCAGTCTATATGGCCCTATCCGTATACAAAATGTTAGTATGTGGTACCTTCAAAATTAAAATTGTCATAATGTTTATTCAAAACACACATTTAAACACTCCAGTTACCTATAACGGGTTGGAGTCTCCCAATGCCCGAGTGCAGTGGGCATTTTGCTGGAAGTACCATCCCCATTCTTACTACACTGCACTCACTTTTTGAGATTTGAAGCTTTAGTCATTACAGTATACATTCTCCATTTTGCACAGCTATATTTCAATGCCGTTTCTTATCACTAAAGCATGTCATGGTCAGACTGTGATTAAACAAACAATATTTAATGATCCATTTCATAATATTCCTGTAAATAAAGCTACTATACATTTCCTTGTATAAGTATAGTATTTTGTAGCAGTTTTAAAGTTATACATATATGTATATATATATTTGCATATATATTTAATTCATTTATTTGCAAATAAAAATTTGTAAAATGTAAATTTTTTGGCACTTTTAAAAATATAGTTATTATTTACCCCTTTAAAATTTCAACATAAGATACCTTTACCTTTGTATATATTATCAATAGATCAGGTAATGGTCGCAGTCGAAGCCACCCCTTTAAAAATAATGTGTATATTATGTATGTTTCTTTACTTGTGTTATGAATTGTTATTATTTATAAAACAATGGGAACGTCATCTCCAAATTTTTTAAACGCTTTTTTTGTGGGTGTTTTGGCGTCAGTCCCACTGTTTATAGGCTTAAATTTGCATATGCCATATTTAAGGCACAGCTCACATTAACAATTTAATTATACCCAATATTAGGCCTAAGGTGACTTCCAAGCCCTGCTCATTGCGTGAATCAGGGGAATTGTAATATGTTTTTTTTCTTAATTCCTCCAAACACAGAAACTACAGAAAAACTTATATAAATTTTGGCATAATGCTAATTTAACGCGTTTGTCTTCTACTAAAACTATTAAGAAGTACATTGTAAATTATATTATGTGTTTTTGCCAGCAGTAACTCCAGATGAACCATCACAACAAGATAAGCCTGAAGAGTCTCATCGTGGCACCAAGAGAAGAGCTTCTGCAGCTTTCAGTGATGATGGAGAGTTCAGAGGGTTTAATGAAGTGCCATCCGTGGATCAGTTCAAGGGATTCGAAAAGCCAGAGGACAAAGATGTATCTAGGGATTACGGGAAGGTTTTGGGTATGTTTTTTCTTTTTGCTTTTTTTATCAAGCACAATAGATGTTTACATTTAGCACTTTGTGATGTAATTTGACAGATTGGCAAAATTAATTTGTTTTGTCATGAAATATTACCATGATCTTTGATTGACAATGATTGTTTGAAAAAGTCAAACTAAGGAAGAAAAGCGTCACAGAACTGTTTATTCCAAACTAATTTAAAAATATAGCATGGACATGTTTTTTTTATAATATCAAGTGACGGAACGAATAAGTCGTGCGGCCTGATTGTAAGCTACACGCCTGTCCATAACCACCAATGCCACTCAGAGCTTTAAATCTCTAAGGTCTGAGGGACACTGCCACTGCGCCCGTCACCCTGAGTCATAAATTGACAAGTCCCATGTGCCTGTAATTTCACCAAAAATTTGTATATTTCAAGAACTGATCGCAGATGGATACAAAGAAAACTTGGGTCTCTAAAATTTGGCATAGTTTAGATTATTTTATTGATTTTTCAATGTTGATATTAATTTTATTTTTTGTGAAAGTACTCCAAGTGTTTGTTATAATTATTAATACAAAGATCGAACACAATAGAAAAGTCCTTCAACCTTACTGGACCTGAACCTGCATCTGTAGCTCTGGTTTGGTACAGGCCCTGAACTCTCATTCTCCATCCGACATCAGTCCGAAGCAATTACTGCAATACACGACCAAGTTAAAAGCCGCGTGATGCGAATGAAGTTGCATAATTCACATTGACTATTAAGTTTGTCGAGTATTACTTATTTGACAGGAATTGTTTTGGACAGATAATAATAATAATAATATTTATTTCACAAAATAGTCTACAACATAATACTGAAGTCCCTGACTCCTGAGCTAGGTATAACCTGTGTGACAGATGTCGGACTGAGAACGAGAGTAGACGACTCTTAGGGTCATATTCCAGAACTCTACTCAATGCTCAAGTCAGGATCAGAGTATGATTTCAAGCACTGGACATACGACCCTAATGGCAGGGACTTGAGTACGATTTCGAGTGCTTTAAACCATACTTAAATCCTGACTTGAGCATTAAGTATAGTTCTAGAATATGACCCTAAGAGTCGTATTCCAGAACTCTACTCAATACTCAAGTCAGGACTTGAGTATTGCAGTGAGCACTGAAAATCATACTCAAGTCCTTGCCATTAGGGTCGTATTTCCAGTGCTTGAAATCATACTCAAGTCTGCTCAAATCCTGACTTGAGCATTGAGTACAGTTCTAGAATACGACTCTTAGACGCGGTTTCGAGGATATTTTCTCAGTGTTCAATCTTTGTATTAAAAATTATAGTTTAAATATTTCACTTGTTCTTTGATTGTAAAGGATGCGATTACGTATACAAGTCGTTATACTTCATTTGTTACTTACTGAAAACTATTGAGAAATTATGTAGGTAAAGAAATATTTTTACTAAACAGAGCGTCTTGAGGCTGAAGTGACGGCCGCACGAAAGAGTTTTACCCCAGTGAAGACTGTCATGGCTTCGCCTGCAATGCTTCTCCGCGCCAGCAAACGAGCTCGTCAGGACACTGGTAAGTGCATAAACTGACATTACTAAACTTTCAATTATAATTAATGAAAATTACTTTGAGTCGGAGTAAATAACGATTAACACAACTTAGAGGTTTGGTATCACAATATGACTTTTTATTCTCCCTTCTCTCTCAATCCTTTATAACCTAATGGTAAATTATTTGCCACCTTATTTTTTTAGGAAATGGGTTAATCATGTTACCACATTTTCATTTTCTAATTGGATAATGATTACATACTACGGTGGCAACAGCAAATGAAAACGAAATCACCTTCAAAAAAGTTGCAACGAGAAAGGCATCTATGACCTTTATTTACCTGGAAACCACTGCAATATTGTCTCGCGTTTGTTAAAGGTTAAAAAAGTTCCATGGTGACAAACCTATAAAGCAGGTTAGCTAATAACCACAAAAGTTTTCAAATTAGTAAACTAATAACTTTCTTGTCAGAATTGTATGTTAATCCATTCAGGTTAAAAGGAAATCTTTTTGTGCACCACACTTCAAGTTTGTTGATATAAATGATGGAATTGTAAGATATATGTATTTTTTTGTTGTGCCAAATAATCACACCAATTACCTGGCTCAAAAGTACAGAATTCACTGTACTACTAAAATATCAGAACTAGAGAACTATTTCAAAATTAGTTACACCTTGGATCGAACCCAGGACCAAGATGTTCCACCAAGGTCGTAACGGTATTATAGGCCTAGCATTGACTGGTATTTTGAAACTGTAGGATATTTATTCTTTTATAACTGACTGATGACTGCCCATTTGATGTTTATTAACCAATGTTTATCATATTTTTAATTAGGAATGTTTTCCAGTTTTTTTAAATAAAAAAATGTATAATTGTGTGCAATTTACTGTTTCCATATTTAGAGTGCTTTCCATACATTTTTTGTTATCAGAGGGTGTTACCAAATAATATAACACAATACAGTATTTTTGTTATATTAGTGAATAAAGTGTTTATCTCGATACCTGCAATGGACACTACGCCAACTTTATTTTTGGCCATTTTTTTCATTTATTTATTGATATTATGCTCTCCGAGTTTTGTGAAAAAAAAAAATCCAAAAACAAAATTCGAAAAAAAAAATACAAAAAGAAAATACGAATTTTGTGAAAAAAAGTAAAGACACAAAAAAACAAAATAAAAACAGACAAAAATTAAGTTAGCGTCATTGCAGGTATCGATCTATCTATCTATCCAATTTTCATAGTTTTATTGGTTCTTTAACTTTCAATCCCCTATTTCACCACCTTTAAAATTTATTTTTGTGACAATAAGTTGCCTATGTCCTCCTAGGTCCCATCTGTCTCTATACCAAAAGCAGTTTAATCGTGACGACGTTACAAAGTTACTTTCGCATTTATAATATTAGTATGGGTAAAATTTATCATTACTTATTGTATAACGAATGTATATTTACAGATGGATCCAGACCTTCATCAGCTCTCTCTTCAAGATCTGATGGTGAGGCTGCTCTGACAAATGAGGTAAGCCTTTATAAATTATGCAGGGTCATGAACACATCAGGTTTGACAATTAAAATTTAAATTAATGAATAAAAACGATCCAAAGTTTATATTTTAAATCGCAAAGGTTTGAAGGGCACTACCCTTCAAAACCGGAACACAGTAATGCTCATATTACCGCTTGGCGGCAGAAATATGTAGTACTTCCTCACACGAACTTTTTTACAATGAGCTCTGTTACTACTGAAAGTGTCATGTCTGGTGTGCTTTTAACTGTACAACATCTTATTGTAACGTCCGAAAATTCTAAATTGTACATTTTATATTCCTAAAGCAACCTGTTGGACCTCAAACTCGTACGGTAGGTTATTATTATTTTTGACATTGAAAATAATCAAATAAAAAATAGTTATTTTTATACTCCGAAAGGGATTTGGTAGTAAATTTGATACAGTTTTTTGTTCCTAAAGCAGCCACCTGTTGGAGCTCAGGTTCGTACGGTAGGTTATTTACTTGAGTAATTTTTACGAGTTTTTATTATGCAATACGTCATGGTACATACGAACCAAACGGTGCGGCCATAATCTGTATGTATGGCCGTACGTACACATAATAAAACCCGACCTCAACAGTACGTGGAATCACATATAATTACCAAGTTTTATTGAAATCGGTTACCGGAAAGTGCGCAAACCCTGATTCATCCCCTAGTTCGGCACTACACGGGACTTGACACCGGAGATAATAAAAACCAGTTCTCACTACTCAAAGCATATTGAGAGAAAAACGCCTTGAATTGGAGACTAGCAAAATCAACCATTAAAATAATTGCTCCTTGTAATAAAAAAAATAACGCACACACTCAACATAGCCCCGCACTAGGGAAACCCTGTGTCGCGGGTGCCATGGACACACACATAGACAACCACAAATTACACCCAAACTCACGAGAGAAATAATTGTAGGCCATACAAATATTTCTCCCGGCCCGGGAATCGAACCTGGGACCTCTGCGTGGCAGTCCGGTATGGTAACCGTTCGGCCACGGAGGCAGTTCTCCATACAAACTTTCATCCCCTTTAAGATTTATTTTTGTGACAAAAGGTAGCCTATGTCCTTCTCCTAAGTCCCATCGTCTCTGTATTGAAATTCATCGAAATTTATTCAGCGGTTTAGGCATGAAAGCGTAGCAGACCAAGTTACTTTCGCATTTATTAGTTTGGATCGAATTTCCAGCTGTAAGGTGCTTCCTATGTTACCTTTTGTAAAATTCCTGTTTACTTGTTCAGGGCGCCAGCGCAGCGTCATCTCCTGCTGCACGTCGGCGTGCGACGACGGAGATGAGCTCACCACTTCTACGAGTGCCCCTGGAGAGGGGCTGGAAGCGCGAGCTGGTATACCGGGCCGCGCTCGACGCGCACTCGCGCCGCAACGCCGACATCTATTACTACACTCCTCAGGGAAAGAAACTACGCTCCACTAGAGAGGTTCGTGGTTGTAGTATAGCCTTAGCGAGAGTTAAAGAAAAACTCGATCCACATAATTTATTTAAAAGAAGAAATAAAAAGGCTTTAACAAATAAAATGATATAAAAAAGTATAATTGGTATAAAACACTCCCTCCTGAACACAACACTCACCTCAATATCGATATGATTTAACAATAAATCACGTGAAGTTTGGAATTAAATGAGGGTCATGATTTATGAGCACCTCCTCTCGTTTTGAGAATTGTGATTGGAGTGACGTCAAAACAAATCTACGTAAGAATAGTGAAGGAGAAGGCATTTTTAAGTGGTCAGAAACCATTAAAGAGAGTGATAAAAAGGTGGGATGACTATGGAGGTCAGCATCGTTACAGTATCATAGACGCGTGTCAATTTTGAAATCACTTTCAACAAGGCAAGTAATAATAATGTGCCTGACAACCACACGACTTACCTGCTATCAAACTAGGGTACGTCCTATGAGTACAAAAGAAACAAAATTAACTCTTGTGCACAACATATGTACAACCCAGAACACCCATACCGGTAAGGCTAGCACGCCAGGATGCGACTTGCATGAGATTAACATAAAACGCGAGATCTCTAATACGAGTCGATGTCGTGCTAGTAGCCCAACAGAAGCAATTTAGATTTTTTTCTCAAATTGATCCTTCCAGTTATTGCAGGTGGAATCTCGTTCCACAGTAGTTTCAATCCACTCTTTATGAAAGGTAAACAAACTAGTTTAGTTAAAATTCTTAAGCAATCACTCAATATGTGACACTCGCGTATATTTTAAAGGTTGTGACTTGATATCTCATCACTTTTTCTAAGATATAAAAAAAAATGACTTTGAATAATATTGTATTTGGAAAATGTTAATTCATAGGTGACGTTATTTTTCAAATGTAGAATAATAGTCTATGGTTGCATAGTGTTCAGTGGCGAGGCGTGAAAGTTTTCCTTGGTAAAGCCGAAGCTTTAACTTGTTGAAAAAAACAAAAAACACTTACTTTACAAAAATTTCTTGTCCCGTTAAAAGGCGCTTGGCGACATTTAAACAACACATATTAGGACACAAGATTCTAGTTCACTTCATTTCACAGGATAACTTATTCTACACATAAAATAATCATAGATTTAAAATAATTTTACATTTTAAGCCGCCTGTCGCGATACGAAAGTATGCAAACAAACACATGAATGCTAAGTGTTGCTAATTTAACTACCTACGAATTACCATGACTTTCTACATATATTCGTTACGGAGTCCTATTAAAAAGAAATACTCCGTTAAATATAGACAGTGTTGGGCAAAATTTAATTGTTCAGGCAATTAAAGATTGACAATTAATTAATTGTCTATTGCGAAACAGCAATGAACTATCAATCGTTAATCGCGTATATCTACAATTAACAATGAATCAACTTTCAATCTTTTCAATGGTTTTGATTAACAATTAAAACTGACAATTATGATAAATTTATAGGGCATAATGGTGGTGGGTTAGGGGTGGGTCCGGAGGTGGGTTAGAGGGTGGGTAAGAGGTGTGTTAGGGGGTGGGTTATGGGGGTTAGGGGTGTGTCAGCGGGTGGGTGCGTGGGTTTGAGTGGGTGGATGAGCGGGTGTGGGGTGGGTTGGGTTAGGGGGTGGGTCACACACCCCTGACCGCCCCCCAACCGGCCCCCCAACCTGCCCCCCAATCGGCCACCCAACCGGCCTCCCGACCGGCCCCCCGACCGGCCCCCCAACCGGCCCTCCAAACGGCCCCACAGCCGACCCCCTAACTCACCATATTCGTAATGACACTTTTATTCGGTACTTTCGGTTTTAATTATTAGTTTCAATTGTTTCTTAGAACAGCTAAAAAAATTAATTGCAATTAATTTAATTGCATTTCTGATTGAAATTTTATTGATTAACGCCCAACAGTGAATATAGATACATAATAATATGTAACATTATTTATCGTTAAGATTTACAAAATAGAAATTAACTGTATTGTGTATTAATTTGCTATTATAATTTGGTTACATTATTTAAGAAAGTTTTACATCTGGAAACGATTCTGACATTAAAGCCAATTAAACTATAATGTGTTGCAATAAGGTTTAAATTTAAGTGTACGCTATTCGACAATAACTCGAATTATTGCGGCTTCTCGGCCGCTATTTCTTTATACGATAACGTATCCGCTATAAAAATCCGCTTTATAAAAAGCGGATTTTTTTTTATGTGTATATTTTGATGGGAGCGCGTACATTTCATGAATGAAGTAGAACTCGCCGATCCGCCGGCTTACCTCGTACTGATTGGTTGAGATGCGGGACAAATTATTACGCGTCTAATAGTGAATATTTTGGATAAACGTTTTTTAAGTGGTGGGGTATGCGCGGTGCAACTGGTAATAGGTATGCGAGAAATTTTAGGCAAGCCGGTGAGAATCGAGTTGTATGGACGCCTCGCCGCTGATAGTGCTGTACAAAAAGAAACATTCGGTTCATTCATTTAAAAATTTTAGTAATTGTTTAGTAAATCGAAAATTTAAATTACAATCGAACAAGCGCTTAATTATACATTTTGATCAACCCAATCATTTTTAATATTACAATGTTATTTTACAAATTTGTGGTTATCATAAAAAAACACCCTTAACCCTTGTTATCCCTTAACTTATTTGAAATTACAATATCATGACAATAATTACGTTCTACTCTAAAGTGGGGCGATAATGATCATAATATGTAATTATTTTTATTAGGTGGCCGAACATCTAACCGGCACAGGGCTGACATTGGAAAACTTTTCCTTCTTTAAGGAGTCTGTTGGAATCGACGACCCCGAAAAAGAGATCATTCGGTAAGTTCATATTATCTTTAATAGCTTACAAGGGTTACCAGTTATGTCTTATATAAATTGAGGCTATCGGCGCAAAAATGGTGTAACCCACTTTTTTTTTTCTACAACATTACTGTTAGTAACTGTAGAGCTCCTTGCGAAAGAGTTTTGTCCAGAGAAGTACTGCCTCCTTACTTATTTCTGCCGCCAAGCAGTAATGTAAGCAGTACTGCATTTCGGTTTTGAAGGGTAAGAGGTGATGGCGAAATTCCGGGCACATGAGACTTGTCAACTTATATCTCAGAGTGACGGGCGCAGTGACAGTGCCCGGCGCAGTGACAGTGCCCCTTAGATCTTTGTGATTTAAAGTTCTGGGTGGCATTGCATTGTTGGTGGCATTATGGACAGGCGTGTCGCTTACCACCACGCGTACGACTTGCTCGTCCCATCTCTGAGTTTTATAAAAAAAAATTTAAAATGCTATCAACGTATGTACATAATTATGTTATATTTGGATGCTATTTTCACGTATAAAAAAATTACATTAAATTTTAATTTAGATCATTTAAAGTAATATTGTAGAAATCAAAATTAAATGTAGGTTCACCGCTTTTGCGCTGATAGCGCCAGTTATTAATTGGTTGATACTTTACCATTTCAATCAGCCGTGACTATGGGACCTGTAAAAGGCCCGAAACGTTGGTTTGAATGAAAAAATATTCTATTTAGAACTGAAGTCCGATTAGAAGTTTCATTTCAAAGGCGTCAATCAAAAAGGCTATTGGCCTACATATTGTATTTGACAGTGTGTTGGGAGTATGTGTAAGAGAAGTGTTTACTGAAAAAACTAAAATACTTACTGCTACTTAATGCTAAATATAATTATATTTTTTATATATATATTTCTTTTGTTGTCCACAGAGACGCGAAACTGATGCGCCGCGTGGAGTCACCGGTGTCGTCGCCGGCGCCTGTAGCCATAGAGGGCAAGCGGACGCCCAAGCCCAAGCCACCTAAAGGCGCCAGCCCCGAACACAACACCCCCAAATCCCCACCGGCCAAAATTCGGGTCAGTATAAAAATATTATATTAATATTTATTTTATTAAATGTCATAATGTTTTTACTACCACGCTATTCATATTATATTTTTTTGTAAAATGCTAGTAGTAAACAAATTTTCATAAGCTTCTCACAACTTCTATAGTAGCAGTAGAGCTCTTTGTGAAAGAGTTCGTCCAGGGAAGTACTGCCACCTTATTATTATCTATTTCTGCCGCCAAGCAGCATTACTGTGTTCCGGTTTTGAAAAGTAAGGGTGCTGGTGCAACTTAGGGTGTCGGGCGCAGTGGCAGTGCCTCTCAGATCTTTGCGATTTAAAGCTCCTAAGTGGCACTGCAACTGTTATACACAGGCGTGTAGCTTACCATTAGGGTCACTATTTGTTCGTCCCGTCATTTGATATTATAAAAAAAGTAGGCCTTTTCGCAAATGCACAAATGATCTACCTACATTCCCTCTGTTCCTATTCTAAAAAAAATGCACTGATTTGAGGGCAGGACATTCCCCGTTTTGACGGGTTCTGTTGCAACTACGCCGCGCTAGCGAACGGTCGCTTTGACGGGATATCATCGTAACAGTTGTCTAACGGCAATACGGAAAATCATCTTAGTATCATTACCCTGTGAGAGACGAGAGTGGGCAGCGCGACAACCCCCTAATACCTGGGCAGGCACATAAAGACCGGCGACAAACGCAACTATCAAAGAAAAACCCCAAGGTGTAATAACAATATTTATTCTATATTTATACTATAGTCTGTCTTTATTGATGACGAAGTAAAATGACAGATCATTGCGCAAAAGTGTTGCCCACTTGCAGGCCAGCTAGTGATTGCAGTCGATAGATATTCTATCGACTATAGAGTAAATATTGGTCACGTTTATGGAATAAACAGCCGAACTTGTTTCACTTGAATTATACTCGACCCATTATTCATCCAATTACTGAGCACAAGTTCATTTGAATTGTCAATTTTTGTAAGTTCATACATACATTGTGAAACTATGTTTATGAAAAATACAAAGAGGAGACATATGTTGAAGTTTTTATTTTAATTCAATATAGATAATCAAATTCGGCTATTCTTGTTAAAATACTATATCTGAATTTAAATTAATCTCGATACAAGTAGTAGTTCAACTGTCAAAATAAAAATAAAGAAGGCAATAATTCAAAAAGTTTGTGTCTGATATAGCACGTGTCAACTTCAACTGGTTATAATTAAATATGAATGTGAATGCAATTAGAAATCATTAAAAACGTCGCAATATTCACAATTCAGTCATTTTTGGCAAAATTTTATGTTCTTTCACAATCTATATAAAACTATCGACAACAATTACATAACTATTTACGAGTTCTTAGGTTTTCGCGATTGTAACACATAGAAAATGAAACTATTTTCAACCGTGGCCATGGGACCTGTAAAGGGCCCGAAACGTCGGTTTGTTTGAAAAAACAGATATACGCGATTTAAATCCGGAAAAATAGTTTAATTTCCTAACTATTTCATATTTTATGAAAGCTGGCAACCCTTCAAATGTCATTTTACTCCGTTTCAAAAAAGACTATGTTTATTTACATCCACGCCAGATCCCTTTTCACTCTTTCTCCACCTTCCTAATTCAGTCTTCAAATTTCATTACGGTGATAATGATAAGTTTCCCCGTTTTAACAACAAATCAACACTTTGTAAATGACTAAGACGCTAACCGCGAAAAGTAAAAAAAGAAAGAAAAAACTGATGTAATGAAATTTATCAGTTCATGTCGAGTACCACAGTTAATAAAATTTTGGTTCATAAAAAATTTTGGAACTATAAAGAGCGCCTTCGTGATAAGGTTTATGAAATTATTTAATTATACAGGAGTAGAAAAAAATAGTTTCATTTCCTATGAATATTATGATGTTAATTTATTTTTGTGATATTACCCCACTAGTTTGTTATAAATTATCATTTACGTTTTGTCAGCAGGTAAAATCGGTCGGATCCCGCTTAAGCAACAGCAGTACCACTCCCGCAGCATCTGCTAAAAACCAGAAGAAAACGCCAGCTGACAATAATAACTCTGCTGCGTGGAAAAAGCCCAGGTATTTATTAATATATTATTAAACTTAAGCGTTGACTGTTTAAAGCAGACTACGTGGGTCATTATAAACTGTTTTTTAAAAATAAATCAATGTTAACCGACAAATTTCGATTGAGCTTTGAAACGGCATTATAGTCCTTTGACGTCCATCTTTGTATTGCCAGTAGAAATAAGTTGACATGATAACATTCAATACTCAGAATATTTCAAAAGTTTGTGTCAGACGTAGCACGTATCAACTTCAACTGGTGATCATTGAAATATTGAAACAATCAGTCTATTTTGACCCATACCCGATATATTCAACATGCCACAAGCTCATTTATAAATACAAGTATTACGTATAACTTAGGTTAGGTTGATTTTCCTGTGCTATGAACGTTATTTAGTTGTAACTGAATGTTGTTCTCAATGTTACCTGCCTACTTTGTATTATTGGTTATTGATTTGCTATCTACTGGTTTAGTTATGTGCTTTATAAAATAGTGTTACAAAAAGATAATATTTACACACCAGCTCCATAGAGCACACATATGTGTTTCATAATTGTATCATCGACTTACACTATATTATTGCGGCCCAAAATGTAGCCAGCCGGCTTTGGTGTTGAACCACGAGGTATTATACATATATACACTACCTTGGTGAGAGAATTTTCCAAATTTGTTGCCCCATGTCTAACAAACTTACAGAGAACACGAATAGTACGTAGTAGAACTTTCAACAAAGTCGATGCCTCACCGTCTTAAGGATTCAGTATGCCTACAGGTATCGTTGGTCAATAGCCTCCTGCAGCTTGCTTGTACTTATTAATCAATGGTGTTCAACGGTTAGATCATATTATTATTACAAAGTAAAGGTTTTCATAAAAAAAGGTCAACACTATAAGGGACACAGCCACTACAATCATCGCTTGCAAACAATTCTGTTACGGGAAAGACTTCAAATTTGCTGATATTAAAGGCTCCAACAATGGTTTTCAATTGTTTTTTTGTAACACTTATGCATAAAAAGCAATACTTATAAAGTGGATTGCAAATGTATATTGCCAAAAAAAGCTGTTAAAGAAGGGTCAATTGACTGAGACCCCAATGGGGTGGGCAATTGACCCTTGGCGGGTACTGAGCGTGCGGCGAGTGTAGTGTCGTGTGGGGCCAGGCAGCCGGCCCCCGCCGCGCCCCCTCCAGCCCTCGCCGGCCCTGAATCGCCGGCAGCCACTACGGCCACTCTGGTACCAGTTGTGGTAACCACAACTACGGCACCAGTAGTGGCAGAGACACCTACAACAGTGTCGGCGTCGCGAGCGGCGACGCCACCGCAGCCACCGCCGCCATTGCAGTCCAGGCCACAGCAGCAGACTTCACCTGATATTAAGGTTTTAGTTTTATTATTTTTTACTTGAAAGGGCTGGTAGTCTTTTAGGCAATATCTATGCGATTATCTAAGAAAGTAAAACTTTTTAGTTCAAATATCGTTCCCTTAGCAGGAATGAACGTGACTTGCGGTATTACAAGGAAAAAATATTTACATATTCGGGATTTTTAATCCATATTGTGGTGTAAAGAATTTAACAATTTAACTTTTGACAAAATAGCAAGTCAAGTCTATTAAGAGAGATATCACAGTAACGCGTAATCGGCTTGAGCCACTTAGGATGAAGTTTATGTCCATGCAATAAGAGCGAAAAATACTTAGCGTGTTTCGCTTCCTCTCGAAGCGCCAATGAAAAATATTAATTTTTTTTTTTATATTGTGTAATAATGTATAATTTAGTGCTCAATTTGGCTTGCTTTAACACACACAAATTGTTTTCTTTATTGGTTATGTCGATTTTTCTGTTTTGTATTAATTTTTGTTTGGTATCAATTTTTCTTCCTTTACTGTTTTATACTGTTGTGTGTGCTTGTGGTAGGTCAATAAATATATTATCCATCCACAATCACGTGTGACTAGCGTATTATAGAACTCGTCTATTCATACAGTCTCCCCGTCAAGTGGTGCAACCATGTTCAATGACATGTGGTCGAGGTGTGCCGACACTATCTTGTGCTGCCTGTTTGTGCATGTACCATCCAGCCTGCGCTGGTTACGTCGTTATCCCGCCACCGCCTTCTGATTCTTTCTATTGCAAGGTAAGGTTAAGATATGGATACCTCCTTTAGCAGGTATAGGGGTAGCCTTTATGGGCATCGAGTTAATAACTAGAAATAGAGACGGATTTCATCGGTAATTAAGTATGTAATTTTTCAATTTTCGTCCATTTTAGCAAAGCTCAAGTTAAACCGGTCGATTTGAAGTAAAACAATTTACGACACACGTCAATTGTTTCAAATTCGGATTGGCCAATCGGAGCGCAGTTGCACAGTAATTATTTGGCAGAATAGTTTTCAAACAAAGTAAATGACTGTTTGTCTCTATTTCTGGATATACACGATGTTTATGGGTATATGAAAAAGCAGAACCGAATTTGTTGGCTTTCGGAACATATTTTAGGTCAATTTACTTCACTTGAACTGCCTCCATTTATTGGCCTACATTTGTGGTTATCTATGTGTGTGTCCATGGCACCAGCGATACAGGGTTTCCCTAGTGCAGGATTCTTTATTTCCCTACGAGTGTGTGCGAAATTATTGTTATTATTTATTACTTAAATAATCTATTTATTTATGTACTATTTAGCTTAGCAAACAACACCGCTCAAGTAATTTGGAGTAATTTTAAAGGAGAATGAAATGCACTAATATTATTGCATACAAGATTTTCTAACCTATTGTTGGTGATAAGTGGTCTATTTATGGATAACACATAATTGTATATGAGTTGGTTGTAAATTTTTTATTGCTATTCACGTTTTATTCGGGCTTGAGTAACGTTCAAAAGTAAAAATCGCCAATTTTCGACTTGAGCGGTTGTTGTCTGCTGAGCGACGATATAGGATATTAGTTTAAGCGTTAACTATTTCAAGTGAATTGTATATGAAGAAAGTTAATTTTAAATAAAATTATATTAAAATTTTTATTGAATTGATATTCAATATTTTTATGTGAAATTAATCCACTAGTTTGTTATAATCATCTCTAGTCGGGGCTGGTAGCTGTAAAGGTATCTAACTGGGTAACGAAATATCATAGATTTCTCATAGATGGCGCTACGATTAGAAAGTCGTTGAAAAATCAAATACAAAGATACAACGCAAACACATAGAAAAATTCGACAGTTCCGCACGCAAACACATAGAAAAATTCGACAGTTCCGCTGGTTCGTTCCGTGGCTTAGTTGGTATAACGTCTGACAGGGTATGCTAGAAGTCGTCGGTTCGAATCCAGCGGGATCGAAGGAATTTTTTCTGAGTGTTCGATCTTTGTATTCATAATTATAAAAATTATATTTATTTATATGCCCCCTTGTTAATTTCGTTGCTGTGGTACTTACACAATTGTAAGGAGTCCGGCTATTAAGCACGTGCTTTTTGAGTTCATAAATGTTTTTTAATATTTATATGTACAATTTAATTCGACAGAATTGCAGAAAGTCAACATCGCCGCCACTCGAACCGCCGCCTCTAATTCACAAATCTGGTGTCGCGTCAAACGCTAGTACACCACCCATATCGACGCCGGTACCACGAAGGGTACCTCTGCCAGTTCCAGTGCCCGTACCCGTACCTGTACCTGCCAAAGTGCGACCTGATAAACGAGTGCTACTTAGAATGAAGGTAACCAAATACAGAGAGATAAACGCCGCCGCCATACTTCTTATATTTGTTTACAGTAGCAACATCACGTCTTCTTAAATTTTATTTTATTTATGTCGATTTAAAAGTGCAAAAACAAAGCAGTATGAATCACTGTAATCGCCTGACAGCATACACATTTACAATATTTTATTTTTTTCGAAACCATGATGTTATTAGTATTACAATATAAATTTTTTTTTGTGAAAATGCTCCACTAGTTGTTATTATTGATAACATACAAAGATAGAACAAACACTAAGGAAAATTCCCTCGATCCGGCTGGATTCCAACCAGTGTTTGTTTGCCAATCCGGGGCTAACACCTTAAACGGAACGAATACTGAGGTACCTTCTTTCCAAAAAAAAAAGTCTAAATCGGTTTGCAATGTTATGGGTTATCGCGTAACATGCTACAAAAAGAAAAGACAATCGGTATTGAGAACCTCCTTTTTTTGTAGTCAGTTTAAACAATGTAAAGTATATAAAAAATAAACAAATAAAAATCATTGTCGTTCAAAGAGTTTTTTTTACAGGTGGCAGGCGGCGGACCCGATGGCGAACGCGTTTGGGCGGTAGCCAAACCACAATCAACAGCTAAACCACAGCCACCACCTCCCAAACCACTAATAGTACCACGGCCACAAGCGACGCCACGTGCGTTGGCATTAAGGGCCTCACTGCCACAGAGCTTGGCTATTCTCAATGGGAGACGGTTCATTATCGTGCCGAGATCTATGGTGCAACCACCGCATCCGTGAGGTAAGTAATCCAATATGGTTGCATAAACAAATGCAGACTATAACGTCGACTGGTTTTCATAGAGATCATTAGTTATAAAAATAACGAAAAATAATTTTGATTCTTTATACAAATCGTTAGCGCTTTGTGGCAAGAGTTCATACGATACTATTGCAAATAATAACCACCAAAAGGTGGTTTTCCACCGGTGAGCCGAGACGAGAATTGAAATCTCGCTGACCTATTTCCACCAAAAATTGCCATTAATAGCTAGCTGTTTTCGCTCTATCGCTTGTGCGAGCCATCGCGACCTCACGCGAGCTCGCGCTATGGTTGTGGATAGTGAATATTCAGTGCTATTCAGTTCGTCTAGTGATAAACATGGGGCTGAAGTAACATGTTCCGTAAATTATTATGTTAATGGAAGAAGAATCAGAAGCCATCATTTTTTTAAATCTTAAATTGTACGTAGCCCACATTCTCGAATCGCGAATGCTATTAATAGCCATCACGAACTCATGTTTCTGTTGCAGAGTTTAATACTCTATGTGGGCAACAATACGGTTCAATTACATCAACAAACATTTCAATTCTCGCCTCGCCCATTCTCGTCAATCTAGACCATTTCCCCCTAAGATGCGCTAGAAGATAGTTGCATTTTAATCCAAATTGCAAACCTCTCGCCTCTCGCCCACTCGCCTCGTCTCGCCTCGCCTCGTCTCGCCTCGCCTCGCCTCGCCAGTGAAAAAGCACCTTAAGATTGTCGTATTACCATGTTTACATACAGGCATAACTAAAATCTCGCCTACGAGACATTCGCAAGTAACTTATCACCTATTTGTTTGGCCAAACAAAATAAAATCAAATAAAATTTCAAATTAAAAATAAAATTTTAAAGCATCGACTGTACATGCCGCTACAGAAGCTATTCCTCGATCTCAATTGAGAAACAGCGATTCTCCCACTGCTCTTTGTAAACTCTTGGTAGAGATGCAGGTGAACGAATTATATTCTATTGAGTTAAAAAAAAAAGTCAATAACAATCACCCTTAAAGATCATAGATATTTTGTTTCAGATATTGGTAATCTTGACGAAAGACCATCAAAGAAAAATTCATCGAAGTCACGTGACATCACAATTATGTGTAGAGCAATTTTAGTTAAGCTTTGTATATTCCAATTTACACGTTCATATTGCTAATTATACATCACCTTATCAGCGTGCTCTTAACTTGAAAACCAGTCGTAATTTCAAAATTAAATTTCAAGCCATTTATACATTTCCGAAGCCGATACCTAAATTCTATAAATTACATCAATGACATTGAGAAACACACGTCCTTATTCAGCTCCAAACTCTGTTATGTAGCAGTAACAGCTCCTTGTCAAAAGAGTTCGTCCAGACAAGTACTTTGCGGCAAAAATAGTTAAGGCGGTAGATAACCGTACCTGTGTTTGCCGCCAAGCAGTAGTATTTTAAAGGGTACGGGTGCTGGTGAAACTGCACGTACACGGGATTTGTCAACTTCATATCTCTATCCCTGGGTTCCCCGGGTGAAGTTGGCGGTGTATTTCCATTCATTGGCCTCACCTTACTGGCGTGCTGTGTTGACTAGGTAACCAAACATTATGGATATATTTTGGATAAATAATTTTAATGTGAAAATTTGACCTACCAATTTTTTTTTTTCAAAAATGGAGTCTTTGAATGATGTCTAATGTGTAGAAAAAATAAGGCTACTGATAAAAAAATCTCGCTGTATGTATTTATTGGGCAATCGTATTATATTTGTATATTAATTGTACCAATGGAACACGAGGATTGGTTATTTCTCATTACTACTACACACATCCGTGCCATCAAACACCATTGTACGAAAACGGGACCGAGTCATAACGTCTTAATAGTTTACCCATTAATGTCTTTTCGAAAATCGACTAAAGTGCGTTACGGGCAAGATTATAAGGATGATATTTGCAAGAAGAATAATTGTTAAGTTTTTCACCTACGTCATTAGCATAAAAGCGGCTACAACAGAATCGAACACTAACGAACGTGAAAGCTGACACTTTGCTTTTAAACCCTTGTTGTCATAAGAACTATTTTTCTCTGTTCACTATGAGAAATTTTATGTCAAAAGTTTATGTCAATACTTCGGCCTCAATTGCAAGGAGAGATAAAATAATTTGTCGGTCTTTAACAGATCTGTTCGATTACGTGTTCGAGCTCATTATTGTCCGTTTATTCGATAGCGACTAGTTTGCTCATATGGTTTTCACAAATGACCTGGAATTGGGACTTGGAATCGTGACGACAGATAGTCCTTGAGTTTGAAGTGTCGCACAGTGGGCCCAAATTGATAATTCTAGGACATAGGAATAACTTGTAGCGTATCGTGTTATATTGAAAGAACCTTCTCAAATAAAATAGTCTTTTTTGAAAATGGAGTAAAATGACAGTTCATTGCGCAAGTGTTGCCCGGTTGCAACTAATGATTGCAGTTGATGAATATTGTATCGACTATCGACTAAATGTTGGTCACGCTTATGTAATAATTAGTCGAACTTGTTTCATTAAAATCATCATCGGCACTTCTTCCAACTGCTGGACACAGATTCAATATAATAATAATAATGACAATAACGCACACACTCATCGTAGCGCTAGGGAAACCCTGTGTCGCGGGTGCCGTGAACGCACATAAACCAATAATTACACCCAAACTCACGAGAGAAATAAATGTAGGCCATACAAATATTTCTACCGGCTCGGGATCGCACCTGAGATCTCTGCGTGGCAGTGCGGCATGATAACCGTTCGACCACGGTGGCATTCATTTGAATTGTCAATATTTAAAAATTCATACATACAGACTTGAATATCAAAAATAGAACTAGGAGACATATTTATTTTTATTACACAAAATTTCTTTCTTTTCTGACTTTCACAATTTATCAATAAAACTGTCGACAACAACTACACGACTATTTAAAATGTTATGAAAAGTTGCAACCCTCCAAATGTAATTTTACTCCATCTTCGAAAAAGACAGATTATACTTACATATTGATAATTTTGTATATCGTGGATTGTATCTCGATTATAGGAATATGACCACGGATTACAAATTCGAGTTTAACGTAACATAACATAACGATATTTTGCGACGCGAGATTATGTGAATGTGTGCGTCCGTACGCGACGTGTGATGTGTGCGTCCGTACTCGACGCGTGATGTGTGCATACATGCAAGCCACACCACTACGTTGGTATGGAGTTACAATATATAATAACGCTTGCCAGGCCTAAGGTACTTGCCGATTGTTGCCTAGGGTGCGCCAGACAGTACGACATGCGGGGAGGCTCCTTTCTTGCACCCCATTATATTTATAATTGAACAACATGCCTTAAACTTATTATATATACCATGTTTAAAACTAAACATTTAACTACAATCTCATCTGATAGAAACTAACATGCTTGTCTTGAAACTACCTATTCCCTCTCGTCTAGAAAAGGCTCGAAATTGTATTTGTCGAGAAACAGATCAGTTAGCAAAGAACTTCACACCATACCATTTCGAATTTGGAAAAAGGAGGCATTACGCCTCGTAAAGTAAACCAATTTTGGGATTTAAATAATGCTAGAGTACCAGTAAGCACAAGGAATTCCTTGTTCGTAGCTTTCAGAGTAGAAAATGAATTACGATTATTTGGCATATAAAACAACCATTTGCAGCCAACAAGTCGCTATCGTGTATTTATTAAGCCCATATTATGTACGTCTTTGTTATTTTTGTTATATAACTTAATATAAATGATTACGTTTTAAATGTTATTACGGGGAACTACAACACATTATGAAACACATAAATATGATCTTATTTGTTATAAGTGAAAACGTTATTAGTTTTTACGATAAAATAAGAAATTTTCATGACTAGAGAAATAAATAAGCTTGCATTTGTTTAGGTCTATCTGAATCGCATTGGAATTGAAATAATTTTTATTCAGGGAATGTTTCAATGGTTTGGTCATGTGAAAAGTTTTTTAGACACACGCTTGGCTACGATCTGGGTGTTAGTAGACTATACAAATTTATAGAGCGGTCGTGGGAAAGGGTCGAACATGGCGTACGTATCTCAACCATTGATGATGTCCTTGTAAAAGGCCAGGTCAGCGGTACCAATAGTATATAATAATCAAGGAAAGACATATATGAAAATAAACATTAAACGAGCGAAGTATACGAAAGTGTAAACTTGTATCTCGCGACGCACTCGCGTTGCATAGAGCTGGTCGTCTCTAGCGTCTTTCATTTACTATACGAATGTGTGCGTTCGTACCCGATGCGGGGCGGGCGTGCACGCATACAGGCCTCGCTGCTACGTTTGTATGCGAGGTACCATACTTGTCATATTATGTTTGTAGTCTCTATTTTAATCCTACCTTGTTTGAACTAACGTCTATTGACAACATGACCATTGATGTACACTAGAGTCACTGTGTCTAGTTCCATTTAGGAACTCATCACATTTATCGACACGGAATCGCATTTTCACAATTTGCCACTGCTGGGCAAAAGTCTCCCCCAAAATCCTCCATTGCTTCCTGTTTTTAGCGATCTCCCACCACTTCTTCTCAAACCCATCAAGATCGTTCCGCCAACGCCTTCTCGGCTGTCCACGCCGTCTCTTTTTATGTAATAAAAGTGAAAAAAGACTGCGCGTTTCGATTTAGCGAACACAACCAGCGCGAAACGAATTTTTCTGACCGGCTCAAGCTGATTCCGCTTTGATAAATGTGATGACTCCTTTAAATGCTTTTACAATAAGCTTATACTATTTTTCTAGTCAAAATTTCTATCAAACCATTTTGTATATTATCTTTACTTAATTATATTTATTAGTTTTAATAAACACGTATAAAACAAATGTATATCAATTTGGATAGTGAAAATAAAACGAGTGGCATATTTTATTTACAAATTTTTGTAACGTGAGTTCTTTTGAATCTTCAGAAATTGTAAAGGTAAGTCTATTTATTCTATTATCTAGTGTAAGACGAAGGTTAGCACAGGAAAATCAAGCGTGATTTTATTTTTGACATTTACTGCGTATAATTTACTAAAATGTATTTTTTTAATGGGTGGTTTAGTATGATGTAGTGTGATTATTTATAAATTTCTTCGTACTAGTGTTGGATTCATAACCGCGTAGACTTGAAACAATGTTTTGTATATCGACTATTCCATTGTTATCCAAACATTGGTGATAAATACAAAATGTGTTATAATATCAAGCGAAGTAATTTGTAGATGATTCCATATTGAAAAATCAATACAATTTATGGTATTAATTTTAATTTTTATTGCCACAGTGAGAAGAGCAAAGGTCGCATGGCGAACGGCGCGGCGTCCCCGCCGGACGTGACGTCACCACGTCGCCGTGGACGGCCGCGTGCCGACGACACAGATTACTTCACAGATTTCTACAATAAGGCGCAAGAAAAAAATTATAACGTTGTTGTGCAGGTTAGTACCATATCAGCTCATGAAAATAAAACTATAGCCGCCATACGCCCTACATCAATTCCTATTATAATGGCGCATATCCGCTACCTTATTAGACCCGACCAAACCAACCTAACCTATACCGGGTTAGGTTGTTTATACTAGGTTAGGTTGTTTATTCGAGTCTAATGTACGGCGTGTGGCGTGTTTGTCTAATTCACACAATAGCCGCAGTCTAATGCACAGAAAGACGTTCCTGCCAATATCATCTATAGCCTTATCTGTTTTGGAGATGGAGTAAAATGACATTTGCAGGGTTGCTAGTTTTCGTAAAATTGTAAATAGTCATGTACTTGTTGTCGACATTTGTATCGATAGATTGTGAAAGTAGGTAAAATTTTGCTATTAAGAAACAAAACGTTGGACATATTAGCGACTAGTGAAATTTTTCATTTATGTGGTGTTAAATAAAGTACGCCTTAAACAGGAAACGACTTTACCTGCATTAAAGAACAAAATTCCCTAAGAATCCTATATATTTCATTCGCGAAAAGAAATTCATTTTTCATCAGCTTGTTTTATATGAAACAAGTAGGTTCCTTACCTGGCAAGCTTTTAACTCTCCACAACCTTATTGCGTGACTGTAAGGTCTGTATTTGCGACAAATAATTAATAACGTACACGCTCATAATAATAACGTATGCACTCATAGCCATGCGCGGATGCCATGGACACAGTGTTGGGCAAAATTTAATTGTTCTGGCAATTAACGATTGACAATTGATTAATTGTCAATTGCGAAACAGCAATTAACGATTACATAACAATTAATCAACGATAACAATTAATCAATTGTTAATTGCGGTTCTCGCAACTAACAATTGATCAATCGTTAATCGCAAATATCTACAATTAACAATTAATCAATTTTCAATCTTTTCAATGTTTTTGATTAACAATTAACAATTAAAACTGACAATTATGATAAATTTATAGGGCATATGGGGGTGAGTTAGAGCGTGGGTTGTGGGGGCCTGTTGGAGGCCTGCTGGGGGCAGGTAAGGGGGCCGGTTGGGGGCCCGGTTGGGAACCCCGCTTGGGGGCCCCGGTTGGGATCCCCGATTGGGGACCCGGTTGGGGGTTCCAAACCGGGCCCCCCAACCGAGCCACCCAGCCGGGGCCACCAACCGAGTCCCAAACCGGGGGCCCCAACCGGTGCCTCCAACCGGGCCCCCAACCGGCCCCCCCATCCAGGCCCCCCATCCGGGCCCCCCAACCGAGCCTCCAACCGGGGCCCCCAACTAAGGCCCCCAACCGGGGTTTGCGACGCGTCGCAATTGATTTTTTAATCTGATTGAATTATTGATTGAAATTTAATTGATTAACGCCCAACACTGCATGGACACACACATAGTCAACCACATATTACACCCAAACTCACAAGAGAAATAAATGTAGGCCATTCAAATATTTCTCCCGGCCCGGGAATCGAACCCGGGGTACCTGCATGACGGGTGCGGATCCTAACATATAACAATAAATGACATATTTTTGATCGATATAACGCTCAACGTCTGTGTACCATAAATTAATAATAATAATTTATGGTATGTCTGTATATTTGTTATGTATTTGACGTATTCTTGCACCCGGACAAACCAATGTAGGTTTAAGGGTGTGATGTATATATATTTTTGTAATATTCTTAGTGTTTAAAATAAATAAATAAATAAAATAAATAAATAAAATGATATAAAGGTCATTGGGTATAATAGACGATTGATATTGTCATATCTAGGTTGAAAGGTGTTCCTTAATGTAATATACCGATGGCATGATGTATATTTTATATAAATATTTTAGATTTAATATACACTGAGTATAATGTATTACTGTGTATTTTTTACGTGCAATGACGAGCGCAGCTAAGAGTATTAGGCTCGAAAATACATAAACATAATGTTATGGAACTGATACTCCCCTTAGGTTAGAAGTGCGATCATAACAGGCTGTAAAATTGTGTCATGCATAACTCAAAATCGATTAAGGTGTCTTTATCGAAGTGTTAACGTCTTTCCCCTTTGCAGATCTTCCAGTACCTCGGTATGCGTGACCTGGCGCACGTAGCGCGCGTGTGTAAGCTATGGCAACAGCTCGCCGCTACACCTGCGCTATGGAGACACGTGCGGATGAAAAATTCACACGTACGTTTATCCTAAAAGGCTATCAAGTTGTTTTCATTTTGAAAAAATTTACTAGTACTTTTGACATCAATATTCGTTTTTAACCGACTTCAAAAATAGGAGGAGGTCTCAATTCGAATGTATGTTTTTTTTGTATGTAAGTTACGCGATAACTCCGATGTTTGTGAACCGATTTTCATGATTCTTTTTTGTTGGAAAGAGGGCACCTCCATAGTGGTCCCATTTAATTTTGAAGAAAATCAATCCACCTCTAAGGGTGGCTGTTCACGCATGAAGATTCTTTTTTGTAAATAACGCCTAAATTTTATTATAAGGAGCAATTATTTTAATGGTTAATTTTGCTATTCTCCAATTCAAGGCGTTTTTCTCTCTCAATATGCTTTGAGTAGTGAACCGATTTTTATTATCTCCTGTGGAAAGTCCCGTATAATGGCGAATTAGGGGATATTTCAATAAAACTTGGCAAATAGACGTAATTCCACGTACTTATGAGGTCGGTTTTTAGTACTCTGATCTGAGATTATATGGTGGCTAAACAAGGTTGAAATCTGATTTGTCGATTTTTAAGTGAGTGAATAAAATGAATGACCCTCTACTCGCGCCATACACACGCTACATCGAGTAGCTGAAGCTACTTTTGTTTTCACAGTTATTATCTTCTCATATAATTTGTACGAAATATGTACACTTACATTAGGACTTACATAAAGTATTTGACTTAAAAAATGTGTTGCCTCAAACTCAGACGAACATGCTGAAAATGAATCTGACGTTGTTTTGTTGATGTCTCAAACAACACGCTCCATTATCATGAGATCTAGTCGAGTCTAGTACATTTTTTATCATAATTACATCGTCAGTAACACGTAGTTTATATCGTCGGTTAAATTTGAAAACCTCGTAAATCCGTTTTTGGACGAAATCCCCTTTTTTAACTCTTCATGCGCATATTTCATAAATAAAGCATGAAATATTCAGGGTCGTATTCTAGAACTCTACTCAATGCTCAAGTCAGGATTGCACTGGAATCACAAGCACTGGAAATACGACCCTAATGGCAGGGACTTGAGTATGATTTCGAGTGCTTTGAATCATACTCAAATCCTGACTTGAGCATTGAGTAGAGTTCTAGAATACGACCCTAAGAGTAGACCTCCAGTTCATCATAGATTGTCATATGTTTTTCCCAGTAATTCTGTTTTTGTGCTATTCAAAAGTTCACATTAATGGAGGTAACGAGGTTTGCAAATTTAGCCGACATTACGCCGCTGTTGTGATATGATGTCACAAATCGCCATTGCCGTTTGTTTATAACTCCTACTTTTGAGCAAGATTCAATAATAATAACGCACACACTCAACATAGCATAACCCCGCACTAGGGAAACCCTGTGTCGCGGGTGCCATGGACACACACATAGACAACCACAAATTACAACCAAACTCACGACAGAAATATATATAGGCCATACAAATATTTCTCCCGGTCCGGGAATCGAACCTGGGACCTCTGCTTGTCAGTCCGACATGGTAACCGTTCGGCCACGGAGGCAGTTCAATGTTTCGCAATCGTTGATCATCTATGTCCATTCTTTAAAAGCATTTAATTGTCGACACTTGTCCATTACATTAAATGGTTATGAGGTATTAGTAACTATGGACAAGTGTACATGGTATAAACCATTACTTTTTGTACCGTAATAATATTGTACTGTATATGTTCAGGTAAGCGACTGGGGCGGGCTATGTGCGGCGTTAAAACGTCACGGCACGAAACGACTAGATCTCCGCAAGATGCTGCTGCCTCAAAACGATACCGTCTTCTGGGAACAGTTTGCACAACACATTGGTACCGTTGACTCGTTGGAAAGGTATGATCTACATTCATTATCTCATCACCATCAACCCTTTTCACGTATTTAGTTTTTGTTATTTAAACCAGACGTACTACATACTAAATGCCAGTTGGCATGTCAATAGCGCTCATTCACCCCCTTCCTATCACTGTATACGTTATTTGTGAAAACGATACGCTTCAACGTTTCCGTCCCAAACGTCTGACGGTATTATGGTTAGCGTATCATGGTAGAAGTCACCTTGACGTACATGATCTCGAGGATTGTAAATTTTTAAATAATTTAAAAGTAATGAAACATTTAAATTTTTATTTAATTGGTATTCAATTGTTTTTATGTGAAATTACTCCACTAGTTTGTTATAATTATTAATACAAAGATCGAACACTCAGAAAAAAATCCTTCGATGTCCCCCCACAAATAATCCCACCAGATTCGAACCGACGTCTACTAGCATACCGTGCCAAACGCTACACCAACTAAGCCGTGGCTTGGTATAGCGTCTGACACGACTGTCTGGTCTGACAAATACAATGAATAACGACATCTCTAGCCGGGGTTGGTAGCTGTAAAGGTATCTAACTGGGTGACGAAATATCATAGATTTCTCATAGATGGCGCTACGGCTAAAAGTCGTTGAAAAACCAAATACAAAAAGATACGACGCAAGCACATAGAAAAATTCTTGAGGTCCGCTTTTTCGTTCCGTGGCTTAGTTGGTATAGCGTCTGACACGATATGCTAGAAGACGTTGGTTCGAATCCGGCCGGATCAACGGAATTTTTTCTGAGTGTTCGATCTTTGTATTAATAATAGTAATGAAACATATTAATTAAACGTTAAGCCTTTATTTTTCAAAGAATATATACTGAATAAAAGACTTATTTCGTATATAAAAATACTAAGCAAGGTGTGTAGTCTCGTTCTCCGTCCGAAACAATTGACTGTCAAATAAGTAATACTCGACCAAATTAAAAAACGCGTGATGCAAATGAAGCTTCATACTTGCCATTTTCTTTTAATTATGCCGAGTATTATTTATTTGACAGTCAATTGTTTCGGACGGTTGTCAGACGGAGAACGGGAGTAGACCCTCTGAACAGTAAAACCTAAAAATGGTATTATTTCTGACAAAAAATTACAAGGTAAATTAATAAAACAAATTACAAAACCACACTAAAATTGAAATGTGAATATATCCGAAACTCGAGCGTATTCCGATGTAAAATGAAATGGCTTGAAGGTAATGTAAGGTAGGTATAAAGAAACGGGAATATGTTAAAATTAGCCTTTTTTAGACGATCTAAGTTTTTTTTATGAAAATTGATACTTTTTTTACCCTCAAAAGTATAACGTTAAAGGAACTAAATTATGGTTATTATGCATTGACTTTTATACTTTTAATGTAAAATACAATAGACAATATGAATTACATTAAAGTAATATACAGTAGTATATGATTGTAACTTGAGCCTCATTTTTTAAATTAATAATAATATATCACACACACTCAACATAGCCCCGCACTATGGAAAACCTGTATGTCGTGGGTGCCATAGACACCACAAATTAGAGCCAAACTCACGAGAGAAATAAATCGTCTTTTTAAAGGTAACACCACACAAGTGACATTTCTACAAAAAGTCTTTAAATAGCTATGGTAAGAAAATCACTATCTTTCTGCAGGTGAAACTAAATTATGGAGGGAGAGTCCCCATATAACCCATGAGTCTCCCTGGGCTCAGGGGTATCTATAAAGATTTCCCACCCGTAAAAAGAAAAGAAAAAGAAGGTGAAGCTAAATAACAGAAAAGCTATAAACTCAATAAGTGGTTTTATCTGCTAAAGATGGTGATTATCTTGCAACAGGTACATAGTTTGGAGATTTTTTGTGGATTTGTGGAATGTCACTTATGTGGTTTTACCTTTAAGCAGACGAAATGTAGGCCATACAAATATTTCTCCCGGCCCAGGAATCGAACCTGGGGGCTACTCTCGATCTCCGTCCGACATCCGTCCACAACAAATACTGTCAAATAAGTAATATTCGACAAAATTAAAAGACTATGAAGAATATGAAGCTTCATTCGCATCTCGCGTATTTTCATTTGGTCAAGTATTGCTTATTTGGCAGTAATTGTTTCGGACGGATGTCGGACGGAGATCGAGAGTAGACCCCCTGAAACGTAACGTAACGTGACGTAACGTTCGGCCACGGAGGCGATTGTGATATATTGTATATTACGTGTACCATATATTATTATTACAGTTATAATTAATATAATTAATTATAATAATGTGAATTTAACAACTTGTGCCTCAAATTTATACTACTTATAGTTTAAGTTACTTTAAGCAATGTCAAAATAGTGAACAGATTTTAGGGATCGGCGATTGTTGGCTGTCGAATAGTGACTTCGAAATGAGGTTTGGATCAATGCTAAATGGTACAGAATATAGAGAACTATGTTTTCCAGAACAGTTATATAATAATACAATATCAAGATTTCTACAAATGTTATATTTTATACAATAGCAATATAATTTGATTTACAGGATAGAAATGTGCAGATGTCCTGCCAGTGCCGTAGAAGCGGTATGCCGCGGTCTGCCCAATCTGAAATCTCTGTCTGCGCTTGCCATTCGCGACGCCCTCCTTGATCCCTCCCCTCTGGGGGCTCTAGCACAACTACACGAGTTACGATTAAAGAGTATGTCCGGTCTTTCGCTCACGAGGGACTTGAGGCCGCTGGCTGAATTGAGACATTTACAGCATTTATCACTCACTTCTATAAAGGTTTGTTTGTTTATTACTAGGTACAGATCGTAAAAAGCATTCTTTGACAAATGACATGACAAATTTTTTAAAGAAAAATGGCAATTTTATTTTGGCATTTCTAAATTGACCGGTAACTACGATCCCGCACTTTTGTAAATACGCAAATATCCACTTTCACAATTTCGGCATTCGACAATTGTCAAGTCTGTGATCGTTTAGATTATTTTTCGGGTCATAGGTTTTCAGTTCTAGACCGAACAATAATATTTATTTATGTAATATACAGCTTAATATAAATAATAAGTATTTTCAAATAACACAATGTCTATATGAACTTGTTATTGTAGTGTAGTTACATTCACAGAGTTCACAAGAACAACCTGTAGTTTAGCAAAATTCTGAAGCAAAATAAAAAACCTAAAATCAGTTCATATACGAGCCAAAATCAGTTGAGCTAGTATCACCTGTACTTATAATATTTGATTTTCAATAATGTTATCAATGTTAACAAAAATTAAAACGCAAACCTTTTTTAAAAATGAAATTGAATTGACTCGGTGAAATTTGGTGATTAATTGGTTACAACAGTATTATTAAAAAAAAGACTAAAGATCCCTTTTGTATAGTATAATTCTTAACATCAAGGATAGTGAGATTCATGAGTCGTAACGTGTTCAGGAACTGGGCTGGTGCGCGAGCGACGTAGTGGGCCAGCTGGAGCAGCTGGAGTCGCTGGAGCTGGGCGAGTGCACTTTCCGCGCCGAGTTCGCGTCGGTGCTGGGCCGCCTGATGCGCCTGCGCCGCCTGAGGCTCGAGCGGGGCACGGCGCAGTGCGCGGCGCCCGAGCTGCTGCGGGCGCTGGCCACGCTGCCGCTGCTCACCAGACTCGAGCTTGTTAATATTGACGTTAAGGTAAAGTTATATACGCTCCTTCTACTTCAATCTATGCTAAATTCCCCCCTGTTTTTATGTTATAATGTGTGCGCATGAAGCGTACACAACTAAATAATGCCTATTCACTCTCGCCATGAAAAGGCCTAAGTCGTAGTTTCTGAAAGTAGTCCCCCCAGTAGGCGCTGAAGAGTCCTAGGTGGAGCGGTAGGTTTCTCGGAAGTAATTGGAGGTCTTGAGGGTTGATGCTGTCCAAAGGGTGCTACCGCATTTAAAAAAAAACCTGCATAATTTATGTACACTACACTACATATATATAATTTTTATACCTTGTGATTTTTTGTGTTAACATAAAAAATACGTGGTTTTCAATTATTTTTTGTGGTGGTTTTGCGATTTTTTTATCAAGCTAAGTGGGCGGTTAGCCAAGAAGTTTGGGAACCTATGGCCTAAGTTATAGTGTTCTCGAAATAAGTCTGTAAGCAAGGAATTCCACCCCATAGGGTTCGACATATAAATATGGAAGTGTAACGCTTCAAATCTAGCTGTTAATATTATATAGTATATATTATATATTAGCTGTACTTATTGTGTCAAACCAAAACCCGAAACACTGCAAAACCATGCACAGCGTTTTGTAATTTTATTACAACAAAAATCTATCTGCTATTATAAAGGCAAAACAAATTGAAAATAGACTTAGACTTAATTGATTTTGCTAACTAGAGTCTAATATTTTAATGGCTATATTCTTTAATATATATATTCTTTAATATATATATTCTTTAATATCTAATGTACAAAGTAAGTTAACCGGTCAGAAGCCGTTTCTAAAAAAATCTTTCTCCGCCTTCTGCCAGTACTAGCACCGCCGCTGCCCGATGCTAGGAGAAAGCTTTTAAAAATAGCTACTTTTCCTCGCCATGTCACAGTCGTTGTCATAGGACTTCTGTAGTACAATATTGATCATAAAAAGTATTATAACGGCACGAAGCGCGCCAAATAGTAAAAGCCCTCGGCTTCTGTCGGAGGCGGTCGGATGCCACCGCCTCTTCTCCCGCGCCTCGAACCGCAAGATGGCGGAACTGTTTTATCGTATCACATGCGCCCAGTTTGTTTATAAAATCGGTTGTGTACTGTAATAATTTTGTCATGGTTGAATTTTGAAATAATAGTATTTCGACGCTTTGGGATTTACTATATTAAATATTTCAATTAGAAATAAAACTATATTTTATGATCTGAATTCAGTTTTGTTCGAAAAATAAACGGTTCTAGATCTGAAAAAATACTTGTTTTATTTCCAAATATTGACTTTTAATAGTATGTTGCCACCTTGACTGCGCTATCCACTAGCATTGAAATAAAGGCTAGTTTGATTGCAGGTCGGTTTCGACGACGCGCTAGCAGAGTGTAAAAACATCCAACGATTACTGATCATACCGACTTACGTGTCGCAGTCGGCCACCACCAACAAACAGGTACGTTTAGAATTAACAACATGCTTACTCTATATTCACTAACAATTTGTTTCGTATGCACCGTGCAATAATGTGGGAAGCTAAGACATTTTCCAGACGTCTTATTTGAGCTTACAATAGGACTATGATGCTATACAACAGTCCAAAAAAAAAATCTATTTATCCGCCTAAGACCCGGCAAACTACAACCGGAAAAGAAATAAACGCTAAAATGGTCATTATAATGTTCTAAATATAATTACATGCTTCAGGCCCAAGAAAGTCCGTCCTCAGAATTGTATGAAAAACGTATTGCTCTAGATACCCTAAGGTCACTAAATTTGAATGCGATATTTTCATTATACACTGGGCCTTAGGAGGTTATGTATATTTAAATACACGCCACACTGTTTAACATAGCGTTTTTCAATCATCTGTTTCTCATCCCTCAATAAAATAATTCGTCCAAAGTCCTAAACATTTGAACGTCCCGCTGTAGGTGCTGAGCGGCGTCCTTCGGCTGAAGGACACGCTGACGCATCTGATGTGGGGCGTGACCATCGAGCTGCTGCGCGTGACCGAGCTCTTCATCGACCAGTGCGAACAGCGCGGCGACGCCGCCAGAAGAGACCTCGGCGAATGCATCCCCGTGCTCAAGCCCGTGCCCGGCTGCAGGCTTCCGGATCACTATCACGTCGCTGGACCACCACAGGTAACAGCTATGCCAAAAATAAAAATAGTAACCACGTTGAGGCAACAGACGCAAGTTCGAGTGCTTTGTATCAATAATAATAACAAAGTAGTAGAGTATTTTCACAAAAAAAAATATATGTGGTCTTTAATCATGAGATTCCGCGGCTGTGATTCGATGGAAACTGCACGCCAAGGCTCTGACAGCCCGATCACTCGGTAGGGCTCATTCAGAGTATGAGCGCGGGTGTAGTGACCGATGCGGGGGCGAGGATCTTGGCGTCTCCCCTTTCACAGTGCCGAAGCGCTACGAGCGGGTATACTCACACGTCGAAATCGCAAACAGACGCTAGATATTAAGTTCCAAAAAAACTACACAACATAAATCAACAACAACCAAACAAAAAGTCAACAACAAAGCATAAAATAAACTGCAACGATATTTGAACAATTGCTCCAAAAACATCACGCAAACCTCAAAACCAAATAAAATGACCCGCGTACAAGGTGTATGCACTCGTATTGACTTGCGATACTTACTATACTAAATTTTTTTTATTTACAATTACAACTGCAACAAATATTGTTTGTTTTTGGTGGATTATGACAAATTTCCTATTTATTTTTATTACCTGGTTGAGAGATTAGTTAGAAATAGTAAGCGTGCAACGTAAAAATTGTAAATTTCACGGAACTTGTCCTAGGTGAAATGGACTATAGTTAGTCATCGTTTAAAGGTCGTCTTAGTTAGTGGACGGCAGTGCTGTCTCAATCACATTATACTTACGCAATTGCCGCTAGGGAATATTATCTATATTTATATATATGTATGGCGAACGGCTATAGAGCGGAATTCCCTGCCTGCAGACTCGTTACCCGATCGTCATAACTTGAGCCTTTTCAAGGCGAGAGTGAATGGGCATTATTTAGGTGTGCATGCTCCATTGTCGACTTCATCGTCACTTTCCATCAGGTGAGATGGAAGTCAAATGCGCACTTACATTTCTACAAAAAAATGAATAATAGATTACTTTAAAATGATTAACTGCACCTAACCATTGTACATAGGTGGAAATCCTCCCCCTGCCAACGCTGCAGCGCCTCCTGTCCGCGCAGCTGCCCAACACGAAGCTGAAACTCCTGCGCATCCCGTTCCATGCCACCTGGCGGCAGTCGCTCGCAGACTTCCAATAGCAGGTTGTTTGTCTATGTACGTGTAAAAAAGCTGTTAACGCTTGTGTATGTACTTTTCGATGCGAATAAACAGTTATTTTGTAAAAGTCATGTTTTGACGTATAAGAAGAAACTTTATTTCTATTTATGCCTAGAGATCATTTTGTAAATTTATATAGTCGCACTTGACAATTATTTTAATTCAACACCAGAAATGTAAGCTACTTTTTTATGCAACACGCGCACAGATCAGTCGCCTCGATGTTAGGAATTACTGCGCCATTACTTATTTGTTGTGATGAAATAAACGTTATTAACATTGTAATAAACTGCAACAAAATTTGTTTATATTATTTTAAAGGAAATTTCGAGCAAAACGAGTTATTTCGGAAATTTATGGGAGTCCCTCTATTAAAACTTGTTTCCTTTCATCTAAACAAACAAAATAACTGGAATTCTTTGCTATATATCGTCTCTAACAAGGCTAATTAATGGATATAACTTACGAGTTTTGATGAAAATGATGTAAAACCATTTTTTCGAATCTAAATTTATTCTTTCAAACAAACCAACGTTTTGGGCTCTTAACAGATTTTTTTTTTTATTCCAAGTGACCGGATGAGCAAGTCGTGCGCCTGGTGGTGGTGGTAAACGACACGCCTGTCCATAGCAGTTGCAGTGCCACTCATAGCTTTAAATCGCAAAGATCTGAGAGACAGTGCCACCGTACCCGTCACCTTGAGACATAAGTTGACAAGTGCCATGTGCCTATAATTTCACCAGCACCCTTCAAAACCGGAACGCAGTAATGTTCTCATTGCTGTTTGGCGGCAGAAATAGGTAAGGTGGCAGTACTTTCCTGGACGAACTCTTTCTCAAGGAGCTCTATTGCTACTAGATTATGGTCATAGACAGACATGCGATTTTTTTTTGGAAAATTTTGTTATGTTTGAAGAAACAAATACAGGCGACTCAGATCAGAAAAAATTGTTTCATTTCCAGTGTGCAGCATTCGCTATGTAAGCTAAAAACATAAGAACTCGAAAACGAAACATTTACAATTACATCATAGCCTATTGAATTCTGAATCAAACTTTGAAAATATATTTTTTCCACCAAAATTGTAAGTTATCATCCATTTGTGCTAAAAAGGACTTTAAACCCCTTTAAAGCCTTTTCCAGCGTAAATGAATCCAAACAAATTTTGCTAGATGGCTTCTCTTTGCCCCAACAATGCGGAAAAACTGTTATTTTACTATTGGTGTGTGTAATTTTTGGTGAAACTACAGGACTTCTCAGCTTATGTGTGAGGGTAACGGGTGCAGTGGCGGGGCCCTTCAGATCTTTGCAATTTAAAGCTCTGAGTGGCACTGCAACTTTTATGTATAGGCATGTCGCTTACCAACAGGGACACAAATTTTTCGTCCCGTCGCTTGTTATAAAAAAGGAAGTTCACCCAGAGTCGACTCAAGATGTCATGTTGTTTTTGTCACCATAATAAAAGCTGTATTATACTCAATATGGTCAAATAATAGATGAATACCTTAAATATGAATATGATTTGTGACTTCGTATAATAACCTATTTGCCCGTAATTGAGTGATTAATCGAAACAATACACAAGCGTTTAATAACGAATAAAGTAAAGTGTGTGATAATGTAAAAGAACTTTTAAGTTTACTTTGTTCTGCATATGAATACTTTAAATTTTGTACAAAGTATTAAAAATGTTGTAACACTTTTCTAAAGAACGGTCTCGGCGGCAAGCTATATTTGTCGAGCAAGCTTCACATTGCTCATTCATTCCGCAGAATAGTTATGTCAAAAGAATACGCAACTATCGCAGTGGACAAAATTTAAAAATAATGCGGGCGTGATTTGTTATTGGTCTCCAGGGTGAGATTTTATTTAAGGGGACGATATTAATCGCTGTTCAAAAACGAACGACGAACTAGGAATTGATGGGTACAATCATCAACAAAAATATCGAAAAATAAAATATGTCTATTTCAGATACCATATATTGTTAGAATAACTAACAACACTGCCATTAGTGTGTAAATATAACTGCAATTTGTATTGTATACTTGTATCACGTTCCAGAAATATAATGGGAGGGATCGATTCCAAGTACTACGTTGGACTTTTACAAAGGGTTCAATTATTTTGTCACAAATTTCAATTGATGTAACGCATTAGTTGTCGTAATGACATTATTCGTAATCAATGGCGTTTTACACGATAAGTTAATTGAATTTGATATGGTAGGTTTGATATGATTAATTGAAAATATCCCATTAAAGAAGCTGAAGGAGAAAATTTCTTCTATTTATTCTTCTACTTCTATCACTATCGCGTCCAGCCTCCAAGGATGACAAGTGGAGTGTCTGGCCACAAAGACAGACTGACTAGACTGACGGAAATTAAAAATAGACCGACATTCTTTTGGACTAAAAGCAACGAGGGAGTTCTGTCTAAAGTGCTGACCTGAGAAGACGTCTTCCCCTGATTGGTGTATTTGCTATTTCATGGAAGGCGCTACAGGACAATCTAAATTTCTTCTTAGGTGCCAAGTAAGACTGGCAGCTCACTGGTCCAACCGGTAAATCATGTAAGACGGAAAAAGCCCAATGACTGTATTTCCGGCTCAGTGTTGCCGTTTAAATAACTGCTGCTTCAACAATACTGAAATATAAAACCGAAATATAAATTTTAGTTTATATCAAACCAGAGGAAATGCAAATCTAAACTATAAACACGCAGCGAAATCCACTGATTTTCTCGCGCAAGTCGCGCCCCATCGTGCTAGCCAGTGGGCCAGTGGGGCGCGACTTGCGCGAGAACGACATAAAACGCGACATTTCAATGCCCAGAATGACAAGAAATTTCGTTGGGAGCTAGAATTTATAAAACAAATGCATTTTCTTTTGAATATTTTTAATTATTACTCCCCATAGAAATACTAGTATCAGATGTTTACATTTCCAGCAGATTGAAATGATTCCTGACGGCAACGCCCATCGATTCTATCGCGTCTGTCTAAAAACGTGAATGAGATAAAGCCCGCACCGCATATAGCTGATATTTATTGTTGGTGTTCGTACAAACCGCAACGATAAGAATGTTAATTTGTACATTGTAATTGTGATTGTGAAGCGTGCGAACAAATATAGCTTTAGCCCTTAGACGCATCATTTATGACAAAGTAATGGTATACATACGCCATTCTTTTTGTTACTTTTTCAATGTTAATTATTAGGTTTTGCACTTGCTACAGTTATTGCACGGCAAATATGTTGCCAATAGAGACAAAGTACCAATGATTTCAGTAAAACTATTTTAAATAAAAATAGTATAAACTCTATTCTTTAAAAGCACTGCATTACATTAAAATTATGTGAACAATTATATAATTATGTAAAGACACATAACAATATTATATGACATAAGACAAGTGAGCTTTTGGACCATCATATTGATAAAGTTTAAAGAAGCAATTGCTTTAAACCACCAATGAAACGTGGTGTCAACAACGCCACATTTTCAGTGTCCAAAATTAATTTGTCAATAACGTCAAAATATATAATATTATCGGTACAAATTTTACTGAACACCAAAATGTTAAACATAGCCTTTGCCTTATAACTAGAAGCAATAAATAGCAAATATATCATAGTCAAATATATCTATTGTGTTTGTTACATATTATACGTTTGTATATAACCCAGTTGAGGCTCTTTATTGTTAATAAGTGTCACAAAAACTTTCGTGGTTCTACGAAGAACTGCCGGATAACCGCGTGAGGCGGAATACAGCTTGGTGGCATTGAAGTTTTCTTTCCGGTTCAGTTTTGCCTTTAAAAAATCACAGATTTTACTGATTGAACAAAAAAACTTTACAGATGATTTGTTGAAACAGTACTTTTCTGCCAAAACTGTGAAAGATAGCCATTAAAAATCAGTAGTTTATATGCCCAAAAGTTTGACAGATAATTAGTAGAGGCGAAGCTTTATCTCACAAAAATTTGAAGAACAGCCATTACAAACCAGCAGTTTATCTGCCCGGAAGATTTACAAATAATTTGTTAAAGTATAGGTTCTCAAGTGTGACAAATAATTAGTAGAAACAACATTTTATCTGCCAAAAGTTTGAAATATAGTCATTAAAAATCCGTAGCTTATCTACCAATCGTTTAACAGATAATTCGTAGAGTCGGTACGTTATTTGCTCAAAGTTTGACAGATACTTAGCAGATAGTAGCCGAAATGGCAAGACTGAGCCGGAGACTATTCTGCTGTTGTTTCATTTTTATGTGTACGGTATCCAAACGTTTCTATACAACTAAAAAGGGAACTACTGGGATATAAACAAGCGCTTATTGTCAGATTTTATAGCAGGTTTTGTGTAAGCACGCTAGCAGATTTAGAATTTATGCAACTTCTTTGTCCGTCGTGCTGTGAAATGTTGAAACTCACCACAAAAACAGTATAATAAGACAAGTATGATCACTCCATACAAACATAGTAGTGCGAATTGTATGTGTTTACACCCGTCGCGCCATGTATTCAGACCAGCCCACACATTCGCTTAGGGTGCGGTCAGACGAGCGTAATTTTGTGAATTGTGAGTCGCGGTTTTTGAGTCGCGTAGTTTGTGGGTGAGGCCAGACGAGCGTAATTTTGTGAGTTGCGATTGTTGAGTTGCGCAGTTTGCGCTGGACCGAAATTCGGTTGGAGCGCCAGACGAACGTATTTTATTCAGTTGCTTTAAAGTGTTTATACGGGGTGTTTGCATCGTTATAGTGTAATGAATCTATTAAAAATAGTATGCATTTATGAAGCATTAGAAGACGATGTTAGAAAAAGAAAAAAAGGCTGGGTTCATCCACTCAATATGAAACGATTAAAGTATGGGCAGTTTCGTATATTATATACAAATTTATGTGAACATCCAGATCAATTTGTTAAGTACTATCAACAAGCCAATAAATGTTTTTCAAGAATTATTAAGCCTAGTAAAACCTTTTATTGCTAAGTCAGATACAAATATGAGACAAGCCATTAGTCCAGAGGAAAGACTAATTTACGTTATAACAGTCATTTACGTTAAAGTGACCCCTTCCCTCACCCCTACCTCGACTCGCGCCAGCTCGTCTCACGATGCGAACGAAAGTCAGTCGTCATTACGGCCGTGAGCCAGCAGATAACTCATTTTGCGTCATCGTATGAAACAAACCGTACTTTTATATGAAACCGAATGCAGCGCAAACTACGCAACTCAAAATACGCGACTCACAACTCACAAAATTACGCTCGTCTGGCCTCACACTATATGGTTTAGAAATTTGGTTGATACGCCAGACGAACGTATTTTATTCAGTTGTTTTTATGCGCTTGTACGGGATGTTTGTGTCATATAGTGTAATGGAGCAAGAAACGTTTCTACTCACGCGCATCCAATACCAAAATTACCACTTCCCTCACCCTTTGCTACAACCGCACCAGCCAGTTGCACGATGCGACCGAAATTCAGTTGTAATTACCGCATGAGCAGGCAGACAACTCATTTAGTGTCGTCGTGTGGAACAAAGCGGACTTTTATATGA